GGCCTCGGGGTCGCTAAACTTTCCCTCCCGGTCTCCCACCACCGTCCTCACATTGAAACCCATTGTTCTGGTTCAGATTGGTTGCAGCGCTGATTTGTCCCAGGCGCTGCGGACGCAGACACGCGATGCTCCTCACTCCCAAGGAGCTCACGGCCTGTACAGAGGGCGGGCAGCTAACCGAATAGCGGCCTCTAACACCTAGCGTTTACTTTGTGCCGGGCACTGTTCAAAATTCTTTAAATAATCGGACAACTATATGAGACAGATACTATTATTGCTCCCATGTTATAAATAAGGAAACCGAGACACAGAGATTAGCTCACGTAAGCCAAGCCCCACGGAGCGTAAATGGCAGACCGCATTTTTGAACCCAGGTGGTTTTGCAGTCCACCTGCCAAGCTTGCAGGCTCTTCAGTATGAGGATTAGACCCAACGACTGGAGGAGACAAGGTGAAAGGGCGTCCTAGGTATTTGGAACAAAAGAAGGCTAAAAAGTAAAGCCCTGCTTGCATTGGGGGAATTATGGGCAGGTGTGTGCTGAAGGATGGAGTTAAAGCTACCATTTAGTTGATGCCGGGCCTTGAAATAAGTGCTTGCTTCCATCACCTCTTTTATCTTCAAGGTGACCCTGGGAGGTGCTATTTTAAAAAAATATATATTTTATTGATTTTTTTACAGAGAGGAAGGGAGAGGGATAGAGAGTTAGAAACATCGATGAGAGAGAAACATTGATCAGCTGCCTCCTGCACACTCCCTATTGGGTATGATGTTATAAATAAGGAAACCGAGACACAGAGATTAGCTCACGTAAGCCAAGCCCCACGGAGAGTAAATGGCAGACCGCATTTTTGGACCCAGGTGGTTTTGTAGTCCACCTGCTAAGCTTGCAGGCTCTTCAGTATGAGGATTAGACCCAACGACTGGAGGAGACAAGGTGAAAGGCCGTCCTAGGTATTTGGAACAAAAGAAGGCTAAAAAGTAAAGCCCTGCTTGCATTGGGGGAATTATGGGCAGGTGTGTGCTGAAGGATGGAGGTAAAGCTACCATTTAGTTGATGTTGGGCCTTGAAATAAGTGCTTTCTTCCATCACCTCTTTTATCTTCAAGGCGACCCTGGGAGGTGCTATTTTTTAAAAAATATATTTTATTGATTTTTTTACAGAGAGGAAGGGAGAGGGATAGAGAGTTAGAAATATCGATGAGAGAGAAACATTGATCAGCTGCCTCCTGCACACTCCCTATTGGGTATGTGCCTGCAGCCAAGGTACATTTCCTTGACCTGAATGGAACCTGGGACCCTTGAGTCCGCAGGCAGATGCTCTATCCACTGAGCCAAACCGGTTAGGGCGGGAGGTGCTATTTTTATTAGAATTTGCAGCAGGGGGAACTGAGGCTTAAGAAGGTTAGGTGATTTATTTACCCAAGGACACAAGCAAAAAGTATTTATTGACTGCACCCTTCCTGTAAGGCATGTGCTGTGGAAGATTAAAAGGAAATAATCAGACGTAGTTGGAATATCAATGAGTTTACAATCTGAGGTCAAGACAAACTCATGTGGAACTAAAGTCAGTAATGTGTGATGCTTTATCATTTTTATACATAATGCTAAATTCTGGGGAAAGGACTTGAAACATGGTAGCTTTAGGAGCACAGAAATATCAAGAAGATTGGGACAGGCAGGGGAGAAGGCAATGAAATTGGAAAGATTTGAACACTGTCATCTGAAAGAATTCCTGGTTTCTTTTTAATTTTAAATTAGTGTGCCCCATATTTCTCAATCATGGTGTGAGGTCGCCTTCCTGCCATTCCCGTTATTCTGCGAAAAGTTTTAGTGAAAATATGAATTTGAAGAAAAGCATTAGGACTGATGAATTGTCATTTAGTTGATTGAAAACTTTTGGTCTGGTTTATCTACAGCTACTTAAACTATCAGAGTGCATTTCCTCCCTAGTCTTTCACAGGATAATACATGATGCCCCTTTAACCAACATAGGAGGTGCTGGGATTCAGAGGAAAAGCCCTGGCTTGGACTGCTGTGTGGGAGCTGAAGAGGCCGGAGCAGAGGTCCTCCCCGCTGGGTGCCGGACCTGGGAACCTGTCAAAGCATAAATTCTCTCAGACCCTATCCTAACCTACCCTCTTAGTGAGCCCTCCAGGTGATTCTGCTGGACCCTAGAGCTGAAGAACTACTGGTTCAAGAGCACACCCTCCCTTAAATAGAAGAGGAGCCGCAATGGAGAAAGCAGAGAGACAGCCTTGCTTAAAAAACTGGAGCCCGCCAGGTTTGCACCAGATTTACAAATCGAGAGTGATGAGCTTTCTGCCAGGAGAAGATATGACTGTGTTCTCTCTTCTGTTTTTCATCCTAATTCCCGACTTCCATGTAGAGATCACCGCAATAGACTAAGCCCAACCTCATTCTGGAAACTTCTAGGATTAGCAGGGGTGCAGAAAGGAGATATTTACTGAGGGCCTATGACTTATGCCAGACATTGACTAATGCACTTACTTCATGCTTACTCACTAGCTTAATTTGGTAACTTCCACAGGTTGTATGGCACACACCAGGAAGTACTAGGACTGGATATCCAGAAGGAAATGAGTAATGGGTGGTGATGAAGCCCCACGGACTAGGAAAGTTTGACATCAAAAGTGCCTCTAAGCCTGCCTGGATATGGGAGGGACAGTCTTATCAGCGCCTTTGAGAACTGGACTGTGGCCGGGGCAGGCTGCAGGCACCATCAGAACCACAGCTAAGCAGTAGGGAGGGATAGACACATCTCAACTTCTCTCCCATCATTTGGCCCATCTCAGCCAGAAGCCAAGGGGCAAAGGAGCCTTGGAGAAGCAGTTTGGAAAGGAGAGAGTTTCCTGGAGCATAAACAAGGCAGAGAATCCCTATCGAGACAAATAGAATAAGCAGAACGGGACTTTCGTGAGTCACTGTTATCAAGTGCGGGTTCATTTTGGATACATTCTTTAATGGGATGTTTAAGGGAGACATCTTGAAATTGGTTTTTAACAATATATGGAAGTTGTCCCAGAGACTAGGATTCTAGTAAACTTTTAGAACTTACTGGTCTTAGAACTTAATGGCCTTAAACCAAATGAGCCCCGGAAGAACACGTTGCTAGATTTTTTAGAGAGTTGCAGTCTCGGTCTATTTTGTTGTAGTAACCAAGTGACTGAATTTTCATGACAAGCATTAAACCCAAGTTATAGGAGCTGTGGACTATTATTAAGCAACACCAATTTGTGCTTGCGAGGGCCTCTGGAAAAGATTTGAAATCCCAGGATTCATGTGGAATTTTCAAGAAAAATTATCCAGGTCAGTCACCAAGAACCATGTCATAGGGTGGTTACAAGAACTGAATGGGGTAGAGAATGTAAGAAGTGATTGCTTTTATATATATATAATTTTTTATTTTTAGAGAGAGAGGAAAGGAGAGGGGTAGAGAGATGGAAACATCACTGAGAGAGAAACATTGGTCTGCCTCCGTATGCCCCCTACTGAGGATCAAGCCCTGACTAGGAATGGAACCAGTGACCTCTTGGTTCATGGGTCGACGCTCAATCACTGAGCCATACCAGCCGGGCAAGGAGTGATTGCTCTTGATGGCCAGATGTGCCCACTATATTACTTGACATTGTCCCTGGGAATTTACCAGCCTCTCATGTGCCATTCTAAAGGGCTCCCAGTTAGAGTTCTCTTGGGTTTATGTGGGGACAGGATCTCTGGAATACACGATGGTGTGGATGAAAAGGGCTGCACAGACCTGACAGCTCAGGAAGCGACACGGCAGGTCTGCCAAGCTCAGTGATTGAAAGCAACCACACAGGACGGTCTGAATGCCAACTCCTAAGCGGGCCAGTCACGGCGGGCAGTCATATCCCAGGCCTCCAGCTTCTTTAGTAAAAGGTTCATCTTTACCTTAAGGGAACCCTGCCTGTTGCTATTGTGCATCTGGGATAATACACCTTAGAAATGTCAGAATAATTTTCATTTCCCGATCCTTCAAAAGCGGACCCCTGGCAACAGAGCACAAAGACACCGAAAATCCTTGTTATCTTGTTGCCCACATCCCACCCCTATTCACTGTAATTGTTAAATGCTCACTATCCTGTGACCACCAATGTAAAAGATGTATCTCTCCATTTTCCTTTTTATTCAATCCTAGAGATTGCCCAGCTTTTTCTCCACCTCCTTATCTACCACCAGTAGATTTCACATACCCTTCCTTACTTTTTCTCCTTTCATTCTAAATGTATTTAAAGAACTATAAAACTGCTTCTTTCTCGAGCATTTTCTCATCCATTGAGACCTTGCTTCTGGACATGTCCTCAAAATTTTGGCTCAAATAAATTCTTATTAATACTTTCTACAGGTTAGGATGTTTCTTTTGTCCACATTTACTGGCATCTTAATATTAGGTTAAAGCATATAAAACTACAGACATAGGACTATTTTTAACCTACAAAATCAACATTTATATGGGGTTGAGCCTAATGAGGTATTCTCAATACAGTCACTCTCTCCTGCTCCCAGTATTTCTTCAAAAACCTCATCTGTGAGATACTGCAAAATTTATAGGAGAACTCATCTTCTGCCACTTACTCCCATGTTTCCTAAATATTATAGCTATGAAATCTCAGGTCTTAGGGAGCATTTTCAGAGCCATTCCTAACAATTCATAGACTGGTGTCTGATACAGCTTCTCCCTGGACCCCAGAGAAACGCACCCCAGGGCTTAAAGCCTGCTGTGAGGCATGGGACAATCACAGGAAATTGTGAGGAGGTAAAACTCAAGTTAAGTCCTGGCAGCATCTAAGGAAATCCTAGGCTCGGCTGTGGTTCCTTTCCCCAGATTTTATAAAAACATGCTTTCTCAAGTCTTGCTGAGTTTGCTAATGTACCCTTAAAAGGTGCCAACAGAGCCCTACTGGTCACCATCCTTGGCAATATTTTTGTGTTTTCATATAAAACAATTCCACAGAGGGGGGAGGCACACAAATGCACAGGCTTGCAGAAAGCCCAGACTGCTCATTTGGACTCTGCCATTTTCCCCTTCATAAGCCAATAAACTACTATTTGGTGCTTTGGTCATCTCCAGGGGGTTGTGGACACTAAATGAACCTTTGTATGTGCATAAGAGCTCATAGCCATTCTCACACTAGATCACACTGTCCTGAGAAAGTTTGAGGCTAATATAGTGTGAATAATCATCTTATTGTATCGCACATGGAGATTTTAACGATTCCTCTTTGTCCTGGGGTTTCAACTGATTGCAAGAAAAGAGTTATGATTATCTGGAGATGTGTAATTCTCTATCATGCTCTTAGCATAGTTAGTATGTGTCTCAAATTCACCCACTTCAGAGGGACTTTTTCCAAAAAACTTTGCCGCAAAATGATTTTCCATCTCAATGGCAATGTCTTTTGAGATGAATAATCTAAAATGAACATAGTAAAAAAAAAAATGCAACCAGACTGTCATTTATTAATACAAATTTATATAGTGGTATATGCTATTGAAGAGATCAGAAATTCATCACACACAAATTGGTATTGGAAATACAAAAATCATTTGAGAGTCAAGAAATCGGGTTGACAGCACCACAAATATTTTACTCAGTCTGAGCAGGTGCGCAGTATCCAAGAATCACAAGAATTCCTACAGGACACCGAGCCTGAATGTCAGAAGGTTGTGCAAACTTATTCCACCATGATTCCCCATCCACCAGTGAGACTGCAGGAGTCCTTGAGGAGGCCCGGGGACAATGCAGGCAGAAAACAGCTGCAGACTCTTCTTTCTTTTAACCTTCACAGCCAGCCAGTGTGCTATAGCAAATAGCAACCCCCTGGGGGCTTTGTTCCTTCTTACCTAAAGGCATGCTGTAAGAGGTTAGTAACACACACAGGGCTTTAGTGAGCAAGTCAGGAACAGAAAGCAGAGTTTTGAAGTATAATCCCACATCAGCCACCAAATGGTCTGATCCCTAAATGAAGTATAAAACAAATGAAATACAAAATTCTGTATCAAAAGAGTCAATCTCAAGTTCACATCTCTTAACACTAGAGAAGCACCGCATTCAGGAACATGTATGTAGTGGGGGGAAGAGCTGAGAGGAAGGAGGGCAGGACTATTCCAAGGGCTTCCTTTCACACAGATGATTCACTACCTCAAGGTCTTCACAGGCCGCTGCCCTGGTCATGCAAGACCTCCTCCATGGAGGCTGCTAGGAGCACGCAGAGATCTCAGTCTCCATCGCTTCCCAACTAGCTTCACCCTGCCACCTGTCTGCGGTCTTCCCATGCACGTGTCCCCTTTGGTAGTAATGGAGAGGATGTGCAAGACGAATATTTGAGCAAATGGAAAGATGTTGCTTTAATGTGTAAGCATCTGGCATGAGGAACGATAAATAAAGGACCAAATCAAAGTTGCTCCTCAAATGACTGGCTTCCTGTCCTTGAAGAATTAGCATGAGCCCTGTAGGTTGTTAGAAGAGTCTGCCCCTCTGGTGAGCAGGGAGCCATGAGACACCAATTCTGGATGTTTGTGAGGCGGGTACATAAATTCTGCCCCAAATTGCCTGGTGTCTCAAGTGGCACCAGACCAGTCAGGAGTTTCCGGCTCTGGGCTCCCTCGATTCATCCTATCATGAAGACTTGACACTCATCGAAGCATGCTAAGTCAGACATTCCTCTATATGTCCTGCTCTGGAGACCAAGTCACAGTCTCACCTCCTGCTAATGCACTATTATGACTTGTCGGTTCAGTCCTCCTTAAGACCATGGCCAGATTCATGTCTACGTAAACTGGTGCTTCTTTGTTCCAATGAGATTATTTCATAATCCAAGTAGAAGCCAGTTTTTGCTTTTCTCTCTACATTTCCCTTGTGATATTGCCACCATACCCTCTTACTTCCTGTTTCTAAATTTATTCCCCTATAACTCACCTGTGACACCAGTCATCTGTTCACTCAACAAATATTTCTGGAGTGCTTGTTATATGCAAGGCACTGCTGAATAATCAAAGTCACGGTTCACACAGGCCCTACTCTCAAGGAGCTTGGAGTACGGTAGAGATGCCAAAAACCTTTCAGAGTTCATTCTTTCTAGCTTTTAGTACCAAAGTGTTCCCAGTTTGGAATGTTCCAAAGAGCTTGGGTCATTCTAGTACAAATATTATGCGATGCAGGTGCGCTGTCATTTGCTCAATGATTATGGTATGCCAGGCATCAGAAAGAGAATAATGAAATGGTGTCTCCAGTTTAAGACATGCATGCTTATGGTTTTGCAATAAGGCAGGAACCAAAAAGAAACACAATAGCAAGCGGTGTGTACACAATGTGCAAAATCGTTAAGTTGCTATTTGAACACGAAATCATTTAAAAGCCAGGTGTTTATGGCCTTGTCATGTGCTGATATGGTAAAAATAAGTGCCTGAGCTACCAGAAAAGAACCCCCATAAAGAGAAATCCCTGAAATATGTACGGTACCAGGAATGGTGCCTTTATCTGCTGTGAGTACTAGTACTTTATATTAGTAGGCATCTATTCACTGATTTCACTCTGGCCTGGGCTTTATCCTAATTTGCTTTATTCAAATGAATCACTTACTTTCCTGAAACCCTAGCACAATAAAAACCCCACAGCTAGCAAAGCACATGGGCTTGTCTATTATTGGACTGGGCAAAGCCTGGGGTAGCAGGAAATGTGGTAGGTTTTTAAAGCATCCATGGCGATGCAGAAAAAGGTCATGGGAAGTGACCTTGTTTTGTAGCATCCTTTGACAGAAAGGTGTCCTAACATGTCCTCGATGCAGCATCAACTAGTTGGGCACAAGGACATCTCCCTGGGACGAGGGTGCAGTGCAGAAACATGATAGCTCTGAGGTGCTTGCCAGGCCCCTCCTTTCTGTAGGTTTCAGCTCCCCCTCCTGTCATGCCCGAGGTTTCTCCTGTGAGTATCTGGAGCACTTTGAACCCCCAGGTGAAAAGGACTTTGGAAATGGCAAAGTGCAATTAGAGGCCATGGAGTGAGTGCAGGCTGTCAAGTGGATGCAATGAGAAATACAACATTGTGCTGATTAGCAGAATTCTGAATGGAATCTGGGTGCCAGCCATTTGAACTCTGTTGTCCAGAGGCTCAGGAAAAGCCCAAGTGGAAGAAAGCTGGAAGTGGGGGAGGAAACCAAAGGCCCTGAAGGTCACTTTCTGAGATCTGCCACTGTCCATTCCCCGTCCTCGGAACTGCATCAGCTAACCTATGGGTCTACCTCCCGTCCTAACACTAACACACAATCGCTTTCGAAGATCGGCCTTCCAGGAGCAACTGCAGCTACTGAGACTACTAAAGGGATCCACAGAAACAGCGACTCCAGTACTCTGGGGGTTCTAGGGGTTCTTCGTTGAGTGAGGTAGCTCAGTTGTGAGTTGATGCAAGTGATGTGTGCCTTCCCCTGCTCAAAGCTATAGTTTTCCCTTTTCATCTGCAAGATTATAAAAATACCAGTATTTCTCCCGTTTTATAAAAATGATTTTAGAAAAAAATACACATGGGTCTCCTCCATTAAACTTCTGTTCCATCTTGTAAATTGTTGTGAACTCTGACTTCCAGATTCAATTTTTTCACTTTAGCACCTTTGAACACGTACGCCCCCTCGGCGTCGCTCAGTATGTTGACGTTCCGCACGGTGCAGTACTGTCTGCTCACGTTCTTCTCCACCCTGTCGGGGCTCCGCTTGGGCACCTCCACCTTGGTATTCAGAGGGTATTCCTCCAAAATGTCCTCTGTGGGCGGTTTCTTCCTCTGTTTCTGGCACTTCCTGGTGATGAAACAAGCCACCAAGAACACCAGAAGCAGAAGCATGATAGCAGCGAGCGCACTGCCAATAGACGCCCCCGTTTGGGACAGGGAGGCAGCTACAACGGGCTCCTGCATGTCCAGATTGAGGGACTTCATATTGGTGCCATTCTTGACTTGGTCCCCTTCATTGTCATAGATGAGGGAATCGGCAAGGGCCAGCCGGCCACTGGAGTCCACCAGGTCCCTTCGGTGGCGCCTCAGAGGGGCTGTGAGAGAGCGCTGGACCCGGGGCCCTGAGAGGGTGTCAGGGCCAATGATGTAGATGACCTGGAGGTACCACTGGTGTCCTGCTTCCACCTGCAGGAGGAGGAAAACAGGAGACAAACTGAGCATGTCATTGCTGCCCACAGACGCCTCCAACAAAAGGAAATGGAAAGACAGTTGCCACCATACTAGTAAGCCTCCATGGATACATGCAAGTGATGCATTTCAAGAAAGGCATTTGCAATGGTTGGTGTTTACCATTAGAGAATTCAACCAAATATTATGGAGTTTATGGATTCCATTTTATTTCTAAATTAGGGTGATCCTGGTCCAGCTATTCACATTCTTTTTCTCTTTGAGCAGTTATAACATCCAGTATTTTATTGCCATGTCATCTGGCTCCACTGAAACCCTCCATGATTTTGAACTAACTTCCAAAGAGTGATAATAGTTCTAAAATCTAAGGTCATAGATTACTATTTGGAGACAGAAAAAAGTGGAATTTGATCTTGGAAGTTCTTGTTTATTACTGGGACTTAGAGAATTTTTGCTCATCAAATACTACTTATTATTGCCATTCTAAATTATTGTATTGTGTTTATGATTTGGTTAAATGTTTTCCACATGCTTGTGAAAATAGAGCCCAGAAGGCAGGCAATATAAAAAGTAATTAGGAAAAACTAGAATATGGTAGGCACCCGGATGCACACAATAACAAGAGACTAGATGCAAATTAAATAATTTTACCATTACTTTGTCGTATTGGAGGTAGATGGTAAAAATTTGGGGTGAATGATAAGCTTAACAACAATAAAAAGGACGTGCCAGCAAGATGCTGTATGAAGAAGCTGACAGTCCACAGATGATATGTCTTCCTTTTGCTGCCTTTAAAGTGGCCTTCTTCTCACACTCACCTTATAGAGCGCATCTACTTTCAGAGTAAACCCATCCACACCCGGCATGCTACTGACCACGTGGAAATCAGGCAATTCGGAAGCAAAGTGGGCCTCAAAGGGCACGTCATGGAAGTACTTATCGGTTACCTCTGGCTGGCTGCGGTCCTAGATTTTCAGGAAAAGAAAAAGAGATTTAGAAAGATGGGACCACTGGACTGGCCAGCAGCAGTCACTGGGAAGAGAAAGGTCCTCTCCACCTGCCTGGGGTTGTGGTCAGGAGAGAATGCACAGCAGAAGCCCTCTCCTTGGGTCACCTCTGGGTACTACCACCCTCTCCAAGGGAGGACACCTGGTGGCCTCTGTGATCTCAAAACACAGAGAGCGGGGTATCCTAGGCAAATAACTCTCAAGCTATTTGGTCTCAGAAACATTTATACACTTAAAAATCAAGGACCCCAAAAGTCTTTTGTTTATGTGGTTTGTATCTATCAGTATTTACTGTATTAAAGTTAACACTGAAAAATCAAGAAATACTATTTACGAATTCATTTTAAAATGGCAGTGAAAAACTCATTACATATTAACATAAGTAACATATTTTTTTAGAGAAAATACCTATATTCACCCCCACCTTCCCCCAAAAAGAGCTGGCATTGCTTTATATTTTTGCAAATCTTTAGAAAAGAACTAGATTCTCATAACTCCTATATTCAGTCAGTTGTGCTATGTTGTTTATATGAAGAAAATGACCTCACACAGCTACTCAGTTTAAAGGGAAGGATATTTTAATAGCTTTTATCAATAACTTTTATCAATAAGGTGGTAAGTGCTATTTTAAAAATATTAGTTACAATGTGGAATCTGAAATCATATCAATAAACCTTTCATGCTCTCTACACTCATGAAGGAATGAGTGTGAAAAAGGCAAGTGTCATCATACTGTTAGGAACGTAGTTTTGACCTTGTGGACTCCCTGAATGAGTACTGAGGATGTTCAGGGTCTCTGGACCACACCTCGAGAAACACTGGGCTAGACTTTCCTTTTCCTGGGACATTAATAATAGCTTGTCTGTTACCCACCATACCATCAGATCTGTACTAGAATTCAGCTGATCAGAGAGAAGCAACAACAATAATATGTATATATATATTAGACACACAAATATATAAAACCATAAAGAGTGGAGTTCTATTAGCTTTAGACAGGACTCAGAGCTGAGAAAATCTACTCAAGTGTCATCTCTTTAACATGAACAGTTACATACCAGCAGCAAGAATCTGTGTTTTAGGTGTTTGTTTGGCTGAATGCACCCATACTGTGGCCCTTCATTGTAGATTGTCCCGGTGGGATCAAAGAAAGGCACATAGCCATCCTTGCCAGTACAAAGATAGACTTTCTCCAGCTGGAGTTTGTAAGCAGAATTAAGGTTTTGTTCTGGATTCCAAAGTACTCGGCCATAAAGGATTTGACCTGGAAAGATTGAGCAGCATTAATTAGGTCAGACTTTAACGAGAAAGAAATGTCAAGGGTAGAAAGGATTTAACACACTCTCTTAGAGACAAAAATATCTTTCTATGAAGAGCTCTATGAATCCACGTGCTTCTTTTATTCAAAATGTATTAATTAAGCATTTAAGGTGTGCCAAGCACTCTTTTATGTGCAGGGAATACAAAGGTGAGTGAGATGTAGCTGAGAGAGCAGTCATAAAAGCTAAGTAATTGCTAAATAGCTAACATTTATCAAGCTTATACTATTTGCTGGGTACTGAACTAAGTCCTTCCCATGTTAGAAGTCATGTAATACTGGCAATTTCACAAATGAGAAAATCGAGGCACAGAGTGGTTAAGTGACTTGTTGAAGGTCACAAAGTTAGGAAGTGGGATTCAAAGTCAAGGTACTTTGGCTCTACAGCAGTGATGGCGAACCTTTTGAGCTCGGCATGTCAGCATTTTGAAAAACCCTAACTTAACTCTGGTGCCGTGTTACATATAGAAATTTTTTGATATTTGCAACCATAGTAAAACAAAGACTTATATTTTTGATATTTATTTTATATATTTAAATGCCATTTAACAAAGAAAAATCAACCAAAAAAATGAGTTTGCGTGTCACCTCTGACACGCGTGTCATAGGTTTGCCATCACTGCTCTACAACCTACACTATTAACCACCACAACTCTATGCTGTTGTCAACCACAATAGAGGAAGGTACATGATGTTAAATAAGCATGTCGCTGAGCAAAGAAATCTGCCTGGGGGGAGGTATGGAAGGTTATAACAAGGAGACGATATTTGAGCATAATCCTGAAACATGAGTAGGTGTTTGTCAGATAGAGCATTTGAGATGGAAGGAAGAGGCAGGGAGAGCATTCTAGGGGAAAGAAACTTCAGTACAAAATACTGAATGCTGGAAGGGTATGAGTCCCAGGCACTTAGTGCCTGATGTGGCAACAAGTTCTTTAGCTACACTGTCTTATTTAAATCCTCCCATGAGCCCAAAGATATAGGTTCAATTATTATCCCTGTTTAAAATAACTCATCCAAGTTTTCCTGTCTGTGCCATGAGACACAGGAGTTGAGCACAAATCCATCTGCCTCCAAACGCTTGTCCAGAGCATTTGCTCTGTGGTAGGTCAGTGTGATTGGATTGGAGGACAAGTAGAAGCTCCAGCAGGAGAGACTTCTGTGAAGATAGACTCATGGTGCTGAGGATTTTGGACTTAAGTATGTAAGTAACAAGGAACACTGGGAGGTTTTAAGCCTGGGCATAATGTCAACACACCTGAGCTTCAGAAAACAGAATGGAGGAACCTAGGAGACTTGAGTCACAGAGATCAGATAAGGGCTATTTTAATGCTCTAGTGATAGATAGCTAATCTATAGCTGAGAGGCAAGGGGGTGGATTCAAGCAATGTCTAGGAGTTGGATTCCATTCATTTCAATGATGGATGGGATGGGGAGGTGAAGAAGAGAAGGATAACCTTGAGGTTGTTTCCTGGGGCACCTAGAACATGGGGATGCGGTCAGCGGGGCAGTGGGTAGGGGAGAAGCACTGGAGGGAGGTAAGTCCAGCTCTAGACATCGCTAGGTGTCTGAAAGACAGCCACTGGAGAGGCTTGGTGGTTCCAGATTGCACATGGAAATGAGGAATGAAGCTCAGGCGAGATCAGGAATAAGGTCACCTTTTGTGGAATGGCTGTGGAGTAGTAGGACTCTCGCAGGTTCAGAGTAAACAGATGGGACAAACCATGGGGATGGCCAGAGGTAGCACTGAAGGGAGAACAGAAGGAGCCAAGCAAAGAACATGGGACAACAACACACACAGGGCAGAGAACAGAGTCCCAGGGAAGGAGAGTGAGAAGTGGTCAGAGAGGCAAGACCATGTCAGGTGAGGTGGTGAAAAGGAAGCCAAACAGAAAAAAACGTGTCAAAATCCATGGACTTAGTGTCATCGACAAGAGAGAGTTCTGAGCGGTGGTGGGACAAACCCAGCCTGCAATGGGTGGCCGGAGCACTGACTGTGAAGAAAGGCCATGGAGATAGTGTATGCTCACCGCTCCCTCAGGAAGTTCCTCAAAGAAAAGAAAAGAAGGTTTGAAGTGGAGGTAAGGTTGAGAATTTTTTTTTTCCCTGTTAAGGGCAGGACTTGAATGTGTTTTTAGGATGAGAGAAAAACTCAGATATGAGGAGAATATTAAAAGAAAAAGGCAGAAGGGGTAATTGAGAGAGGAAAGGCAGATCTTATTTAATTAATTTATTCATTCAACAAATATTTTTTGGGCACTGGTGGTATGTTGTGCAAATTTGATCGCAATCTCTGTTCTCAAGTAACTTACAGTCTACTGGTAGAGATAGGCAACAAATACGGAAATAATCCTATATAATAAAGAGGTAATATGCAAAATGACCCTCATGCCTTCACAAGATGGTTGCCTATGACCAGGCCAGCAGGGGGGTTAGTGAGGGACGACCAAATGACTGAACAAGCAGGCTGTGTGGGGCGACCAGGCTGTCAGGGGAGTGCAGTTCGGAGGGACCAGGCCAGCAGGAGGGGGCAGTTGGGGGCGACCAGGCTGGCAAGGGAGGCAGTTAGGGGCAACCAGGCTGGCAGAGGGGGGTAGTTGGGGGCGACCAGGCCAGCAGGGGGGGCAGTTAGGGGTGATCAGGCTGGCACACAGAGGTAGTGAGGGGGGATCAGGCTGGCAGGGAAGGGCAGTTAGGGGCGACCAGGCAGGTGAGTAATTAGGAGCCAGCAGTCCAGGATTGTGAGAGGGATGTCCAACTGCTGGCAGTAGGACATCCCCCAAGGGGTCCCAGATTGGAGAGGGTGCAGGCTGGGCTGAGGGGACCCCCCTCCCCATGCACAAATTTTGTGCACTGAGCCTCTAGTATATATTATAAAATATTAAAAATGTGACAAGCACTATAAAAACTGGAGTGTTCTGTGAAAGTGCAAACTATGAAGGTCTCTGTTAGACTGTCCAGTGTGGTCAGGGAAAGGCTTATTGAGAAGATCAACATGTAAGTAGAGACCCGAAGGAAGAGAGAGAGCTAGCCTTTTGAAAAGTCAAGGGAACCATGTGTGGGCCAAGGAGGGGGCAGAGGAACCATTACAAGCAGAGAAAGCATGATGGAGAGCACATATATGTTTGGCATATCTTTGAGGCTGGCAGGCAGTGGGGGTCATACTGCAATCTCTCTGAGGAACTGAGAGATAAAGCAACCTGCCCAGAGTCAGTGTGTTAGAATCTGGTTGGAAACTCCAGTCTTCTTACCACTCAGACAAGTGCTTTCCCACAGTGCCACACTGCCAATGACTATACTGCCAAGTGTGTGATCTTATTGTGAAACTAGAGGCCTGGAGGATGAATTCTTGCATGGGTGGGGTCCAGCTGAGGCCGATCAGAAGCAGGGCTGGCTGGGGGGAGGGGCCACAGGCTGTTGGCCAGCTGGCCCAGCCACTCCCAGTTGAACTCCTGGTCAAGGGGACAATTTGCATATTAGCCTTTTATTATATAGGATGACATGAAGGAAGAACACGGGTCTGTTCCTTTGACTACATGCTGGCTGCACAGGCATCCACCCTGAGGGAATCTTCACTGGCAAGTTGACTGAAAGCTGATGAGCAGAGATGCTGGTCCAGGGGTTTACTTGAAAACTTCTCGCATTCAGACACGGTCTCTTTGTGCAGGCGAAGGGAACAACTCACCTTTTGAGAAGGCTCCTTTGTAATCCATTTCTGCCAGTGACATATCAGATGTGTTGGGATCCATCAGAAACACCTTCTCATTATTGCAGAGCTGAAATTCAGTATTGAGAGAATACACAACTGGCACAGGGCGGTTGGTCTGCTGGAACGCAATGGGTATCAGGAATCTAAAAGTGGGAGAAGAAACAAGAGCTCCTTGAAAGCAGGTCAACTTTGCAAAGGTCATTGGAGCTGTCCTCCCCTCCCTACCCTTCTCAGGATTATGAACAGTGCTTTGTTGCAGGTGCTAAATATTTACTGAATGAAGAGGTGTGTATAGGAGAGGAACTTGATTCGTTTTCTTTCATAGTACTGATCATGGTTTAACATTTTGGTGAAATGTGTCACTATCTGACTGAAATCTACTTCATGGCCCATATCTATTTGCTCACCATTGTATCTTCAATGCTAGCCAAGCTCCAGATTCACATATTTGTTACAGAGTAGCGCATGCGTGATGATTTTAACGCTTTACTCTTCCAATAGAGCCCATCTGACTACTCCTTACTTTTATCGAAGGTACTCCAGTGGGTAGATTTGAAAGGGTTGGAGAAGGAACTTGGGGTATAGGAGACACCCACACAAGCCAGGGCTGCCCCTACTTCAACAGCTTTGCTATAACCATAAGTTGCACTAAGAGCTCATATATCTGACTCAGGGAAACCATTTTTTCTTGTTAGTAGTGGCATTACCAGAATCCACATAGTGCCAGGGACATAGGACACTCAATAAATCTTAATTGATTAAACAGAAGGAACGATGGACTCGCGATGGTGATGATGACGATGATTTATAAGGTTAGAATGTTTGACAGAGCTCACAAAATTAGACATAATATGAAACACAATTCTTTTGAATGAAGTCTGAGTTCCCTGAGTCTGTCTTGATTGTTTTTGTGTTATACTTCTATTGCATCCACATAGAGCCATAGAGATGATCAACAGCAAGGTGAGGCCCAAGGAGAAAGTCACTCTGGGAATAATGGGGAAGGATTTCCAACCCCGAAGCCTCAGTATACTCAACAACACCCTCCCCTGCAGCCTCCCTCACCCACACGGCGCTGAGCCTGCAGACAGGCTGGTGTCTTTCTGCTCCTTTTGCCATTTTCACACCAGAGTTCCTGTCTTGTTTTACACACAAAAAAAATCCAGCACCTACCCTGGAGAAAGAGTTCTTTCACATATACACTAAAAGACACATATCATATCCTTTGTAATAGAGAGAATATGGAATTACAAGCCAAATAGAGTGGTAAACAAGTTATGGGATATTCCTACAATGAATACCTTAATGCAATGAAAACCAAACCACAGCTACATGAACTAACACAAATGTAGATTCACTTATGAATCAACATATGATTCACTGAGCCAAAAAAAAAAAGCTGCAAAGAGAATTCATGCAGTCTGAAGTTATTTATTTTTTTATTATTTATGTATTTATATATATTTTGAGAGAGAGAAAAAGAGAAAAAAACATGTCGATGTGAGAAACTTCCATCACTTGCCTCCTGCCTATGCCCCGACTAGAGATAGAACCCACAACCTGGGTATGTGCCGAAGATGCTCCAACCAACTGAGCCACATTAGCCAGGGCTGAAATTTTTATATAGAGTTTAAAAAACCACACACACATCAGGTAAAACCACATAAAAGTAAATATGAGGTGAACCATGAAAACCAGAGAAGAGAAATACAGCCTCAGGCTAGCAGTTACCTTAGGGGGAGGGGGTGGGAGTGCAGTTGGAAGGGGCACTGAGGGTATTTAAAAGGTACTGGTAATGCTCTATTTCTTTTTTCTTTCTTTGACTCCATTTGTTACAAAAATGGAAAAAACAGTGTCAATCTTGTGGGGGAATCACTGTAGTGAGAATTAAACGTGAAGAGCTTAGTGCAGGCCCACCACCTAGTCCACACTCCACACATGGTCATTAATGTCACTGGTAGTTAGTATCATTCATTTTATTATCCGTATCACAGCCCAGGGGATATTCAATTCATTGCAGTTGCAATTCACATCAGGTAATGTTCTATTTCTTGAGGTTTTATACATGTTCTATATATGGTGTTCTGAGTATCTAAAACATTTCACAATTTAAAAACTTTAATATATGAGTAAGATTCCCCAGCATTTGTCACGTTTGCCCTTTATTGCAGCCAACTACCACTTTCCTGGTCACCTTCCCACCGACATTTGGCTGACTATGTGCTCTCTAGCATCGCTCCTGGTGATTTCAGTTTCCAAATGGATGAACCATCTAACGTCCCAGCCTCCCAGTTCCTGATGTCCTCACCTCCAAAGAGCTTGATCCATTTATGTGTTAGTATATCGGTATTTTGTTCCTGTTATTACTGAGCTTGTTCTTTGAAGACACCCATGCTTCACAGTCCTACTATGCACCACCTCCAAAATCTCATTTTCAAACTCCTCACTTCTCTAACTAGCACCTCCTATCTTTCCTGCTCTCCTCTTCTTCTACACACCCTCACTAATCCTGAAACCACACCGAGACCTCCCTGACCACTTTCACCAGGGTGCAGGGGAACTAGAACTCTGACATACCCATGAGGGAAATGGACACATATTGTTACATATTTGCAAACATTTCGGGAAAAGTGTGGCAGTTCCTTAAAAAGTTAAACATTCATGATCCAGCCATTCCATTCCTAGGTATTTACACAAGAAAATAAAAAGCATATGTCCATATAAAGGCATATACATAAATATCCATTGCAGCTTTATTTATCATTGCCACAACGTGGAAACAACCCAAATGTCCATCAACCCATAAATCGACAAACAAATTGTAGCATATCCATGCCATGGAATACAATCCAGTAATAACAGGAACAAAATACCGATATACTAACACATGAATGGATCAAAACAATCATGCTGAGGGAAAGAAGCCAGAGAGAAAGAATGTGTACTGTATGGTGGCATTTATATAGCTTTCTAGAAATATAAACTAATCTGTAGGGACAGAAAACAGGTCAGTGGGTACCTAGGATAAGGAATGGTTAGGTGTTGGGAAGCATGAGACTTGGTTGGAAAGTTTGTAAGGAAGACATTCTTAGAAAAGGGAAGTGTGCGGAAGGCCGCCTGCCCTGTTTATCGGGATTCCAACTTAGGGGAGTGCTGAAGGCGGTGCCCCTAATTATTCCTTGACCTTTCCAAACAAGTCTGTGTACATGCAGACCCCCGGGTGTTTACTGGAATCCTTATGCTTAACCTTTGGGTTTCCTCGCTTAAAGGACATTACAAACACATGTGTCCTCCCAAAATTACTTACCCTACTGATTGTATCTAAAAGATAAACTTTATCTCAAACTGCTGCTACAATAAAAGCCTAATGAGGCAGGCAAACGAGGCTGCTTGGTTCCGTTAGCCAGGCAGTCCCTTAGCCCTCTCTTTCACAGCAAACATTGTGTGGGAGTAATTCATTCATCCCTTGCTCAGGGTCTGCTGGTCAGCCCCGGCAGTTAGGGTGGGATGGGAGGGAAGGATTACAAAGAAGTATGAAGAAACTTTTGGAGGAAATAGGTATATTTACTATCTTAACTGTGGTGAGGTGTTACAAGTGTATGTATAATTGACCTTGAACAATGTGGGGAGCGGTGCTAACACCTGCCCAGTCGAAAATGTGCATATAACTTTTGACTCCCCCAAAACTTTACTAATAGCATACCGTTAACTGGAAGTCTTACTGATAACATAAACAATTAACATGTATTTTGTACATTTTATATATTATATACACTATTCTTACAACAAAGCAAGGTGGAGAAAGAAAAAGTCAGTAAGAGGATCATATGAGAAAATACCTCCTCCTCTCTCCCCAAACCTCAGAGCACCTCATGGAGAAAATAGATCCAATCAAATGTGTACTTTGTCCTCCTTACCCTCCCAAACCACGAATCCCCCTCCACCTGTCTCTGAGGACTGCCTGCCTTCCTCTTTCTGCTTCTAGCGAAGGCCAGCCCTGTCCTGGTTCTGCCCCTACCTTACTCCAGGACCTGGCTCTGCAGATTTCCCCCTCTCACAGCACCATCAAATTCCCCACCACAGACTGATAGGGTTATTCTTACCAACATACAAACATCCTGAAATACTTTTCAACCCAAAACACAAATAAAACCTCCATTGACACCTCATGTTTCTAGCTACTGCCTCTATCCTCTGCTGTCCTTTACTCACTGTTTTTCCCTGTTGTCCCCACGTTGTTGCCTCTCCCTTGAACCCACTCCAATCAGGCCTTATTTCCCTTAGTCCACCAGACCTGCCTTGTCATCAATGACTTCCACATCACCAAATCCAATGGCCAGCTCAGTCTCTTAATTTGAAAACCATTCCAAATTGTCTCCTCTTAGTAATAATGTCAAATTCTGTCCTCAGCATCTTTTCTTAGAAATGTTTCTAATTCACTTTGCTCCGCTCTTAGAAAGGGGGCATTGGGTGATAACCTGCCTGAGAGCAGAGGTTCCTCTAATCCCTGCTAGAATGTTCAAGTCCAGGCCAGAGCGAAGCACATAATAAGAGCTGAGTAAGTACTGGTTGAATGAATGAACATAGATATGACTCAGTCTCAGGTCTGAGGTGGGTATGAGCTGATGCATAGTTGATTCTCTTTATTTGTGGTAATAATGGTCTGTAAAGTCACAGTGAACACTGAGTTAGTGAACACTGACCCTGCTCCTGGGGGGAATACAGGACAGAGTTCCTGCAACCTTGGGCCCAATATGGTCATCAACTGATTAACAGCCGACTTGTCTTATGCGTGTTTCTGCTTAAAGACATCTTAGTACATATTGTTGATTCACTGACATAGAACTCACGGCACCAGCACTGAAAGTCACACCTGACATCCCCAAGGCACACAGCCTTCCTGCACTTAGGATCACCGGACGGCCCTTCTGCACTCTACTTGAGAGCCATTTTAAGTGTTTTGTTTTGTTTTTTAAATATATTTTTATTGATTTCAGAGAGGAAGGGAGAGAGAGAAACATCAATGATGAGAGAGAATCATTGATCGGCTGCCTCCTGCACACCCTCTACTGGGGATGGAGCCTGCAACCAAGCATGTGCCCTGACTGGGAATCGAATTGCGACCTTCTGGTTCATAGGGCAATGCTCAACCATTGAGCATTGCCAGCCGGGCAGGAGACATTTTAAACAAAGAAATCACCCATGAAAAGGACAAAAATTCAAACATGGCACTAAACAGACTGTGAGAAGGACACCTGTTTGCAGTATGGGAGCTGAAACATGTCAGCGGGCCACTGCTTGCTCAGCCTGAGCTGGGAATGTGTGTCAGGGGACTCGACATTTTGCCACTGTGCATGTTCTTAAATACCATGAAAGCACCCTCACCTCCCGCCAAATTGGTTTTGGGATTACAAATAACTGTTATCCAGTAGGCAAATTCATTAACAATGAAGATCGACACTATTTCCCTACCTTTCCGGGGCATGTGCGGTACAGGCCAAAGGCTTCTCTCCTGGGTCAACCCACGGCTGTGTGGGCTGCACGGTGCAAGGGATCAGGAAGATGGTGTACTCCCCCGAGTAGTCCTTCCTGGAAACACGCAGAGCAGACTGCCGTTAGAGGGAATAATTGACCGATTGCTCACGCAGAAACAGTTTCAGATGGTAAGAACTTTGAGTCTGCAAACACAATTTTTTAAAAAGTCATCACTGATCATTCTAATCTTCAGAGTATCAGCCAGCTGCTAAATAGAGCTACTTTAATCTATTCAAGTCCTTTTCATGAGGAAAGCTAGAAAGACACACTGTTTATAAAAACCTAACAGGCTTAGGTGAAGACGAAGTAGAACTGGCCACTTCCTGTAGATTCCCTAAACTTGTTGGACAATTTCTGTTTATGTTTCCTGTTGACTGACAATCCTATTCAATGAACGCATCCTCAACTGCATAAGCTTTATTTATTAACATATAACCATGTCGGCTGCTGCTCTCATGGAAGAGGTAGCAAATGCCTACCCTCCAGAGGAAGCCCCGAACTCCATCTCATTAACATCCAATCCTCTCCCAAACTACAGCCTCATCACTTTCTGAAGATGGAGAACAATATCACTTCTCATAGGAGACTACTCGCTGGGAATGGCCCTGTTTACAGTGGGGCACAGGATTCTGCAGGTCACGACATGGAGGGCATGGGCATTTGCACCCTCGCCTACTTCATTTCCCACACTTGCCATAGAGTAATAGTCCAGCCCTAGCAGGTTGCCTCGAAGGCAGCCAGACATCCAGAAGCTTCCGGGAGATTCTTCAAGGGGCTTGGGAGGCTGCCATCCATTGACAGAAGAGTGCAGGCCTGTGAATCTTAATTTAGACTGCTGGGCGCAATCTGCAAACGGTCCTCACAGCCACGTGTTTATTCTTTTTTTTTGGTTGATTTTTCTTTGTTTTTTTTTTTTAATTAAATCTTTATTGTTCAGATTATTACATTAGTTACTCTTTTTTCCCACCATAACTCCCCTCCACCCGGTTCCAACTCCACCCTCTGCCCTCACTCCCAACCCACTGTCCTCATCCATAGGTGCACGATTATTGTCTAATCTCTTCACTCACCCCCACACCCCTTTCTCCCCGCCCCCCCAGAATAGTCAGTCCATTCCCTTTCTATGTCCCTGATTCTATTACAATCACCAGTTCATCAGATTATTTATTCACTTGATTTTTAGATTCACTTGTTGATAGATGTGTATTTGTTGTTCATAATTTGTATCTTTACCTTTTTCTTCTTCTTCCTCTTCTTACAGGATACCTTTCAGCATTTCATATAATACTGGTTTGGTGGTGATGAACTCCTTTAGCTTTTTCTTATCTGTGAAGCTCTTTATCTGGCCTTCACTTCTGAATGATAGCTTTGCTGGATAAAGTAGTCTTGGTTGTAGGTTCTTGGTATTCATCCCTTTGAATATTTCTTGCCACTCCCTTCTGGCCTGCCAAGTTTCTGTTGAGAAATCAGCTGACAGTCGTATGGGTATTCCCTTGTAGGTAATTGAGTCTCTTTCTCTTGCTGCTTTTAGGATTCTCTCTTTGTCTTTTGCTCTTGGCATTTTAATTATGATGTGTCTTGGGGTGGTCCTCTTTGGATTCCTTTTGTTTGGGGTTCTCTGCGCTTCCTGGATTTGGAAGTCTATTCCTTTCACCAGGTAGGGGAAGTTTTCTGTCATTATTTCTTCAAATAGGTTTTCAATATCTTGCTCTCTCTCATCTTCTGGCACCCTTGTAATTCAGATGTTGGTACGCTTGAAGCTGTCCCAGAGGCTCCTTACACTATCTTCGTATTTTTGGATTCTTTTTTCATTTTGCTTTTCCGGTTGGGTGTTTTTTGCTTCTTCGTATTTCAAATCTTTGACTTGATCCTTGCAACCCTCTCGTCTGCTGTTGGGAGTCTGTATAATATTCTTTATTTCAGTCAGTGTATGCTTAATTTCTAGTTGGTCCTTTATCACAACATCGAGGGTCTCATTAGATTTCTTGAGGATCTCACTACATTTATCGGTGGTCTCACCAGTCTTTTCGAGGGCCTTACTCAATTTATCGGCGGCTTCTAAACAGTTCTTTAAGGACCTTAAAAGTGTGGTTTTGAACTCTATATCCAACAGTTTGCTTTCCTCCAATTCTGTCGTTTGTGTCCTGTTTCTTTGTCTCGGCATTTTTTTATGCTTCGCTGTGTCGATAGAGTGCCTTTCTGTGCTACGTGTCCCAAATACCTGAGGTAAACACTCTTGGTGCCCCCCCTTGTGGGCTTTGTGCACAGTCTTGTAGTTAAGCCTTGATTGTTGTAGTTATCACTGTGAGGAATTGACCGCCAGGCCAATTGGCTGTGAGAATCAGCTGTATCTGCGGTGGGAGAACTTCTGTGCTGGAGACACCCCTCTGGGGCTAGACTTACTTCGATGGGGCTTTGGTGCTCACTGAGTCTGCCCCCTGAGTGTGTCTTTTATGGTTCCACGGAGCTGCAAACTGGATGGTCCCACTCTGACCTCTGGGCTTCCTGGCTCCTGGATCTCTAGGGAGGTGCTAATCTAGCCTTTGCCTGAGGCTATCCAGCAAAAGCCTCCCTGCAGGGCTTGGGCGGGGCGGGTCCCACAGGATCAACAGGGCGGGGTTAGCAATTATGGCTGCTCTCAGTCTTGCCCTCAGAGGCTCTGCTTCTCAGTGTCCCAGTAATCGCTGCAAGCCCCACGGAGAGAAAGCTGTCCTAGGGTTCTGAGCGATGCCAGACAGTCCCGCTTCTCCCGTATGAGTCTGGGTCCTTAGAGACTCGCCCGGAACTGGAGCTCAGAGCCTGAGACTCCCTCCCGATTGAAAACGACAACCGTGCCCTCAGCCTCCAGCCTGCTCCGAATGCACTCCGCACCTTAGTATTTTACTTCAGCACTGCGCCTCTTCTGAGCCTCGTATGCTTTTCTCTTTCCTCCTAGTTGTAGAACTTCCACTCAGCCAGCCTTCCTGTGGTTCTGGAAGATGTCCGTTCCGTCTTTTAGTTGTATTTTTGAAGTGGTTGTTCGAGGCAGCAAACTCCCGTGTTTACCTATGCCGCCATCTTGGTTTTTCCGTGTTTATTCTTTCACCGTTTCTTTTGTATTCTTTATATCTATTTAGTACTGAAGTGCTAGCAAAGATTTGGAAATAACTAACTAACTAACTAAATAAATAAATAAAACTTTTATAGGTCATCCTGGGATCAGATCAGTGGAATGGGCCTGGGTAGAACACGGGAGACAGTCTAACCAGGGCTTGGCTTTGCCTCTGCTTTGGTTGTATGATTTTATTTATTTATTTATTTTTATTATAAATTTTCACCAGAATAAATTTTTCCATTGACTTTTTTAGAGAGAGTGGGAGCGGGGAGAGATAAGGAAACAGTGATGTGAGAGAGAAACATTGATTGGTTGCCTCCCACATGGGCCCTAACTGGTGTGAGATCAAGACTGAAACTGAGGTACGTGTCCTTGACTGGAATTGAACCTGAGTCCCTTGGGTCCTCGGCCTATGCTCTAGTCACTGAGCAAAACCAGCTTGGGCTGAATGTTTGTTTTTTAAATATTTTATTTTATTGATTTTACAGAAAGAGGAAGGGGAAGGGATAGAGAGATAGAAACACCAATGAGACAGAAATCATCTATTAGCTGCCTCCTGCACACCCCCTACTGGGGATAGAGCCTGCAACCTGGGCATGTCCCCTGACCAGGAATCAAATCATGTTCAGCCATGAACCACACTAGCCAGGCTGCTCATATGATTTTAGACAAACCATGCAAATTTTCAGGGCTTAGTTTCTAGGGCCGTTCATGCCCTGCCCTGAAAATCTGTATGTCTGTATGTCCACAGTTTTCGCATCTTCCTGTAAAGCCTGGAGCAACAGAAAATGAAACTTTGTACACCATATTTGAAAGGCATGAAAATTGACATGTATAAGGTAAATAGCAACCCTTAATAGAAACGCCTAATTAGGCAGAACTCTACTTGCCTGACCCTGGCTTTCAAAAAGTCAGGCCAGACTTTTGCTCAAACCCTACAGTGGTTCACACTAAAAGCCAAAGTCCACACCCTGGCCTACAGGGCCCACCCCTGGCCCTACCCCATCTCCTTGCTTCTTTATTGCCATGACCCTCCTCTGCTCCAGCCACTCTGGGCTCCATGCTGTTCTGAGCATGTCAGAAATGCTGCCACCTCAGGGACTTTGTCTGAAACCTCTTCCCCAGATAATCTGCAGAGCAAGCCCCTTCCCTCCTTCAAGTCTCTGTTCAAATGCACCTCCTGTGAGGCCTACTCTGAACATCCTAATTAAAATGACATTATCCCCTTCTCCTGAGTCCCCTTACCCTGCTCTGTACCATTTATTTCCCACACCACTCACCACCTTCTAACATGTTAATACTTATATTTGTGTGTTATTCCTACTCTTGTGTCTTCTTACTCGCAGTGCTGCATGCAGGGATATTTATTTTGTTCACTGACACATAGCAAAGGCTTAATAAATATTGGTTAGACAAATGAATGCAGATAAATTGCATGTTCTCTCGGGCTCACAGCCCCACTTTTCCCCATCCTTAAATACCATTTAGGTTAATTTCTTCACTATCCTGACAATATGCCAAACACTGTCCTAAATGCAGGTCTTTAATCATACAGCTTTTTTTCCCTCCTTTGTAAAAACTAGACATTTCCCACATCTAAACCTGGAGTACCAGTTGGCCCACCTCCCCCAGGAAGCCATGCTCAGCTCCCAGCCTATCTTGGGCTCTCCATTCCCTGGACAACCATGGCCTTGGGCTTCAATGTTTCTCACTGTGCACAGAGCACAGAATTTGTGGTGTTTTTCTTCACTTTGAAATTTTTCTATATATTTTATCTCCTTACTGCAAATAGAATCTCCTACGGGATGTTTATTCAGGACCTACATGTGCTAAAACCTACAGTTCTGGGGACTCAAGAGAAAACAAACATGTCTTTTACCCTTGGGAAGCTCACTATCTAGTGGAAAATGAGAGTCTATTTAGACCATTATAATACAACTAGAGGCCTGGTGCATGAATTTGTGCACCAGTGGGGTCCCTGGTCCTGGCCTGTGGGATTGGGCCAAAACTGGCTCTCTGACATCCCCTGAGGGGTCCCGGATTGCGAGAGGGTGCATGCAGGGGAGGGATATGGGAGGTTGGCCAGCTGGGGAGGGACCATTGGAGGGCTCCAGGGCATGTCCGGCCCATCTCGCTCAGTCCCTATCGGCCGGACCCCAGCAGCAAGCTAACCTACCAGTCGGAGCGTCTGCCCCCTGGTGGTCAGTACACATCATAGCAAACAGTTGAGGGGCCTTAGCATATCACTGGCATATTATGCTTTGATTGGTTGAATGGCTGACAGGTCAACCAGACACTTAGCATATTAGGCTTTTATTATATAGGACTAGAGGCCCGGTGCACAAATTCGTGCACTGGTGGGGGGTTCCCTCAGCCTAGCCTGCACCCTCTCCAATCTGGGACCCCTCGGGGGATGTCCGACTGCCAGATAGGCCCGATCCCTGTGGGGGCGATTGGGCCTTCAGGGGAGGGGAGGTGGGGGGGACAGGCCTGTGGGATTGGGCCTAAACTGGCAGTCAGACATCCCTCTCACAATCTGGGACTGTTGACTCCCAACTGCTTCCCTGCCTGATTGCCCCTAACTGCTTCTGCCTGCCAACCTGATCACCCCTTAACCACTCCCCTGCCAGCCTGATCGATGCCTAACTCCTCCCCTGCCAGCCTGGTTGCCCCTAACTGCCCTCCCCTGCAGGCCTGGTCCCCCCCCCCCCAACTGCCCTTCCTCCCCTGCAGGCCATCTTGTGGTGGCCATCTTTTGACCACATGGGGGTGGCCATCTTGTGCGAGGGTGGGACGGTCAATTTTACCTCTTTATTGTATAGGATGAGCTGGGTCATAGTAGAAGCTGGAACAAAGTGGGAACAAGGGGGAGGAGCTTCTAGTACTGAAAGGGAGTCAGAAAAGGTGTCACAGAGGGTCAGCATTTGAGTTGTGGCTCAGAGGAGTTGGGGTTTTGTAAGAGGAAGGAAGTGGGAAAGGCAGAGGGAACTGCAGAGGCAGGGGGTAGAGATGGGCTGTGGGTTTAGGGCTTGGTGAGATATTGAATATGGTGAGAAGGCTGGATTTGAGATGAGGGTAGAAGGGAGAGGATGGCCTTGTACCTTTAAAGAGTTGGACTTTAGTAGGTGGTGGGGAGTCAGTAGAGGATTTAAAGAGGACAGTTTCTTGGCTATAAATTGGGACAAATTACATGCATAATCTCATGATAATGATTTCAAAGGAATCATTACACACAAAAATACCTGACACAAGACCAAAAGTTTATGGCCCTGGGTGGGTAGCTAAGTTGGTTAGAGCATCATCCCAATAAACACAAGGTTGTGGGTTCCATCCCCAGTCAGGATACATACAATGACCAACCAATGAATGCATAAATAAGTGGAACAACAAATCTCTCTCTCTCTCTCTCGTCCTCTCTCTCAAAAGACCAAAAGTTTATAATTAAAGAAATCTTTTTGAAAATAATTCTTAGGGCAATCTGACACTTCTTTTTAAAAAAAAATATTTTTATTGATTTCAGAGAGGAAATGAGAGGGAGAGAGAGATAGAAACATCAATGATGAGAGAGAATCATTGATTGGCTGCTTCCTGCACACCCCACACTGGGGATCGAGCCCGCAACCCAGGCATATGCCCTGACCGGGAATCGAACTGGTGACCTCCTGGTTCCTGGGTCAACGCTCAACCACTGAGCCACACCAGCTGGGCTGACACTTCTTAACTATAAAGCTAGAATAACATCTCCATGGCAAATATAGACCTTACTTTCACAGTCTATAACATGGGGATAATATTATTTAAGACAGATTCCTGGTTTCCCACTATTCTTTTTATGGTAATATTTTTAATTTTGATTTTCCTATTTTTCCCTTTTACAAATGAGATAATTTACTGTATCTATCCAATTTCTATTCTACCTCTGTGTTGGGTGTGGGAAGGAATACATATTGTTATTTATTTTATAGGGCATTGGGCCATAAGGAGTGACATGTGGACCTAATAATCAGGGATCCTGAATTGTCCCTGCCTGAGGCAATTGGAATGAAATTCCTTTTTTGCACTAAGGTTTTAGTTGGCATATTCCCCAGCTTCCCTTGCAGGCAGGAGAACCATACAATTAAATTCTAGCCAATGGAATGTGAGTGAAAGTCATGTATGCTCTGCCTGGTCTTACCCTTAGAATAAGGTGAGTACTTCCAATTTTTGTTTTGTTTTTCAGATCTGAGCTACATTTGCTTTCTTCTCTATTAGCCAATGTTGTTTCTATACATCCTCCTTTTAAAATAGAAATTAGATGATTGGATAAAAAAATGTAGTACATATCTACCATGGAATACTACTTAGCTAACCATAAGAAAAAATGAAATAGTGCCATTTGCAACGACATGGATGGACCTTGAGAATAACATGCTAAGCAAAATAAGTCAGACAGAAAAAGTCAAGAACCATATGATTTCACTCACATATGGGATATAAAACTGAAAGCAACAAATAAACAAACAAAAACTCACAGTCACAGACAATAGGTATAGTGGTTACCAGAGGGAGGGAGGGTGAGGGTAGGGTGGTAAAGGGAGCCAGAAAATGATTTGACTTTGGGTGGCGGGCACACAATACAACATACAGATCATGTACCATAGAAATGTACCTTGAAACCTATAATTTTATTAACCAATGTCACCTCAATGAATTTAAAAAGGAAGAAATCTAGCCTTTGAAGATAAGCCCTATTTCCCAAGCTCCTGAAAGGATCTGCAAACATGTCAGTCCTACCCGAGAGTGCCTCTACCCTGTATTCACCTGTTGTAAGAGCTTGTGGCTCTCCAGAGTTGGTAAGGAGAATCAAAGGTCTGAGCACTCCACAGTAGCTGCAGGCCAAATTCCATTCCTCCCAGGTGGTCTGGTGTCATTATGAAAGACTTCACATCTGGCAGGGTGTGGTGCTCCATCACAAACTGTCCTATTTAAAGGGAAAGCACATGCTTACTTGTGAGCTTTATTGTACTTACAGAGATGTCCTACACATCTTAGAACTGAATTAGTAGTCTTCAATCAAACAACTAAGGTAATATCCACCCTCTCGTCCTTAGAATACATTCTACACTGGTGGGGACAGCATAGCACCTCCCCTCAGTCCATCGTCCTACTTGTGATGGCCGTTATGATCATAGAGATTTATAATGATATGAATGTGCCTTGTGGAAATGGGGCTAATGAGTACATCCATAATAGAAGGGGTCCTTATGTGATAATCCATATTGAATAAACTTAGCATTGAATTCCAACCAACATGTTTCTTAACCATAGAAAGACCTCAGTGGTTTATAAATAGAAATACCAAATTTGGATTAAAAATATCTTATTTAGCACCACTCAAGTCATTGGTGGAGGGAGACAATTATAAATTTGATTAAAAAGGTAAATGTTACTCAGCAAGGCACCTCTATTCTTTAAAACTGCAGTCATATGGTGTCATGAATAAACAAAAGTAGGGAGACTATTCTAGATTAAAAGAAACTATATTAAAAGATATAACAATTAAAATGTAACATGAATCTTGATTGGATTCTTCCTTTTATATAAACAGATATAAAATAAATATAAACTCATATAAAAACAAGTAGAAAAGACATTTGGGGTACAATGGGAAAATATGAACAGGGACTTGATATTATTGGATCAAGTCAAATATCTTGGATGCAGTCATGCTATTCTGATGTGTAGGAGAATGTCCTTGTTCTCAGGAGAGGGCTGCTGAAGTACTTAGGGTAACCTGACATGCAGCCTGCGACAAAAAAATGTGTGTGCATGTTTGCATGTGCACACACACATAGCAAAAGGTTAACAACTACTGACTTTGCTTTTAATTGTTCTGGTCTTTAAACTTTTCTCTATATTCAAAATGTTTCTTAATAAAAAGTTGAGGGGAGCCCTGACCAGTGTGGCTCAATTGGTTGGGCATTGTCTGCTACCCTGAAAGGTTGCTGGTTCAATTCCCAGTAAGGGTTTCAGGCTTGATGCCCTGTAGGGGGTGTGCAGGAGGCAGCCGATAGACGTTTCTCTCCCTCTCTCTAAAAGTCAATGAAATTAAAAAAAACAAAACAAAAAACAGCACACAACTAAATAAAATAAAATAAAGTTGAGGAGAACAACAGCCCTGACATTACCTCTGAATTTGGCATGGGTCTTGAATTCAATGACGAGTCGGCCATCCTCTCGAATATAGATTCTTAATATCTGAAGCCTTGCAGAGAGCACGCTGTCTGTCTGGATTCCTAGGCAGGCAACCATACACAAAACATCCAAGTTAGGGTGTGGAGAAGACCTCCCAGACAGTAACTTACATGGAAGTTTTCCCAGTGACACCTCTAAGTAGACATACACAGTTTTTGAATGTAGCTTAAGGAAAAAATTATATATTCACATAAACATAGAATCTATTTAGAGACATTTGCCAATTAAATATCTCTAAACATCTGGACAGTTCATTCTACTTTGTTCTTTTCCACAGTTCCTGTAAGTGCCACTGGCCCAGATGCAGGGCCTCCAGCCTAGGGCTCAGAAAAAAGTGGTTCCTAAAACGTCTTATATCAGCTTTCCTCCAGGATGTGGTTACAACACATCTGCTTCACAGTATATTTTCTGTTCCCCACCGGGACACCTTTTAGGACTTAACAAAACCCTAAACAAAGTCTTGGTGCCTGTGCTCAGTATTCAGGCCAATGAAGAATTAAAGTTGAGCCGAGAAGGCCAGATACAATGGCATGACATGAGTAAGCTGTAGCTTCAGCAAGTGCAGCTGCAATCATGACACCAAGGAGTCCAGTTTGACCAAATATTAACGAGTAACCAAAGGAAGGGGAGAAAATGTTAAAGAAAACAAACCAAAGCTCAAGGACTTAACTAACCCAAAGTATGAAAACTTCCTGAAGTTATTTTCCTATGAAAAATACAATGGAAATAAATGATCTGAGCTTAAATCATTTAACAGAAGAAAGGACTATACTTTCCATGACTAGAAATGAGGCGCATGTAAAGAAAGCTTCTCAGATCTGTCTGTCTCAGATTCAGTAAAATCACCGCTGGGAAGGCCAGAGGGAGAATGAGAGCAGGAGAGGGAAGGGAAATGAATTGGGGGTAATTTTTGAAGTCTAGGACACTGAAAATGGGAAAAAGGCAAAAAATAACTGAGATCCACTGGAGTGAATGGAGGGGGGATCATGCAGTTTTAAGGGGCATTCATGTGGTGGCAGTGGGAGAAGGCGGGTGGGGCATGAGCTCCCAGCTGAGGGGCTGTCACCAATGCAAGCCTGAGGTGAAGGTCATTTTAAAAATTCAGCATTGAAATCCCTGAAGTAACAGTAGGATTAAAGTCTTTTTTTTTTTAACTTTTAAGAGTGCCACAAAAGAGCAAGCAAACTCTAAGCCAGACAAATAAAGTGAACTAAGTTGCTTTTGATATATTTTTCGATTTCCATGTATCTAATTTGAAGATTCCTCTTGCTCCTTAAATGTGAATCCCACCATTTTTTAGCAAATCCCACCATTATGCTCCAAAAGAACACACATTCCTTGGAGCCCCTAACGGGCAGTACAGGACCCATCTGTCACTTGCCATCCTCTACTCGGGGCCCCTCGCTGCCTGGGCCCAATTTCTCACCCCTGGAGGTCTTCCAGCATCAACATCAACATGGATGGACCTCCTTCTTTTTCAGGAACCACAGATCTACACTTCCCAGACTCCAGGCAGCCCTCCTTGGACTGGACATAGAACAACAGGATGAAGAATGCAGCGACTATTAAAAGTCGGTACTTATTTTTTCTTTGAATCTTGCTGGAGCATAAGGTAGGAACCGTGAAGGTGTCAATGGGCGTACCTGTTCTCCAGAGAACAGTGTCATAGAAGAAGGAAAACTCCATCTCGGTGTGGTGCTCCAAGGAGGCCCAGCCCCGGGGGGCCGTCACGTAGATGTACGACACATAGAGAGGCACGTGCACGGTCAGGAACGACTGGGCAGAGTCTCTCACCTGCCAAGCAAAGGGAGGTTATTTCTTCCCTGGGACAAAAGGGCAGACGGTCATCACATCTCAGCTCCATCTTCACTCCCTCCATCAGTCACTCACTCAATCACTATTAATCAAGTGCCCATGATTGTGGCAGGTACTAGGCTAGGAGCTGGGCCCTCAAAGTGGAAAAGCTAAATGACTGCCCTTACGGAACCTACAGTCTAGTAAGGAAGATACGTCAACTTAAAAAATAAATAAAGAGATGGAAGTGGCCAGGGTGCTTCTTACGTAGGGTAATCTGGGAAGGCTTTTCTGAGGAGGTGACACTTGGACAAAAACTCTTAACGAGCGAGAAGGAGTTTTGTTTCCCCTGTTCAATCACTGAAAGCCTTGGCTGAGACTTTACAGTTTCACAGTTATTCCTAAGGGGCTGAACACAGACCTAGGATGTACTGTCAATACACAGCAGCCCCTCACTGACCGTACTTTCCAGTGACCGTAGGAGAGCCTGAATTAACCCTACTCGGGAAGATGCCCAGGTCTGGATCCCGGGGATGAATGTGTGACTGACTTGGATGTTTCAGTGAGCACTCCCAACTCCTTTACAGGAAACTTACCAACGGCTCAGAGCTGCGTATGCTTGGACAATTTGCCATCTCATACAATGCTGTGTTGAAATAACTCTGAAAAGGCAGAACATCGTACTTCCTAAGGGAATTCCTGTTTTCATTTTACTATGCAATGAACAGAAACTGGATGGAGAGAGAACATGCGCAGAAGGCTTCACGTCGAGGCTAACTGTGTACATGTGTGTATGAGTGGGGAGTTGGTTTATTCATTTTAAAATGTTTTCTATTTTTCTTCATAAATACATCTTTCTTTTATAACAAAAAATTTAATCTAAAGCAATTTTATTTTTTTTCACTGGCCAAATACACTGTATTTCTTTTTTTAGGGTTGAAAATACAAATGTAGGGTGTTTCCATGAGTAAGTAAGGGAAAGAGCCAAATGCTTTATTATTTAGGACATCAATCTTTATTTTTCTAAAGTATTTTTTCATATTCAATGTTGTCAGGGATTTAAAATTTGGCACGAAATTTTCCCAAAGACTCTACTAATTCCATATTCGTTTAAAAATCTCTGATATTAGAATCTCCATAACTTCTTGAGTTGATGGGCAAAATTAATTTTTCCTCCTCTGTTTCTGTTTATTCTCCTTTAACCTTCATATTAATTAATAATTTTAAAAAAGAAAAACATCCCTGATAACTATTATTGTATACCTATTTTGTGCCAGATGTGTTAGATGTCTTCTAATATTGAGGTTATTAGTGACTATTTCAGAGGAGGTTCAGAGCGGTTATGTCTCATTCAAGCCTATTGATATTTGACAAAGATATGAAGTAGGGCTTGGTTCTAAGTTCTATAGTCTTTCTAACATATATCAGCTGTTTCAACTATTTGTAAAGAAACAGACAATGGCCCAGCCAGAGTGACTCAGTTGGTTGAGCATCATCCTGTGCACTGAAAGTTTGCTGGTTTGATTCCTGGTCAGGGCACATACCTGGGTTGTGGGTTTGATCCCCAGTTGGAGAGCATATGGAAGGCAACCAATCGATGTGTTTCTCTTTCTTTCTCTCTCCCTTCTTCCCTCTCTCTCTAAGCATGTCCTTGGGAGGATTAAAAAAAGAAAAAGAAAACAGACAATGATGAAGTATTTCTATGTATATATTATTTCTATGTTGGTTTAAGAAGTGGGACATATGAGATCCTTATCTTTGAGATTTTCAAGCATAGTCTGAACAAAATAGCCTGAAACATAATCAAAGTAAAATCATGGAGAATACTAACTTTTGAGGGGCCTGGGAGGAACCAATCATTCAGTTTTGCATTTTCCAAAGTGAATGGAGGGTATAGATTTGCAGTGATAAAAAGAAAACCTAAGCATGCCTTAAAATTCTACTCAGCAGAGGGCAGTCGTGTACACAAAATGAGTCAATCAAAATGAGAGGCATCACAAACAAAACAAATTTGATTCAAAGGCACTTTTCCAAAATGATTAGTCTAAGTCCCTCTACAAGTTCCCCCTGTTAGTGTGGTTAAACCTGATTTGAAATGAAGACCACATGTAATTTTCAGTTCATTGAGAAATACTTTAGAATTATTTTTCCCATGAGGATGCATTAGTCTAGTCCCTTTGATATAACTGCCCCCCAAGTGGCTTCTTGCTATAAAATTTTCTTTTGTCACTAATATTTAATGACTATTAAAAAGGGTCTATATTTACAAGGGTTGTCAGTTTTGAATAGATATAAAATCAAGGTGTTTTAAAAAATTATCTCTCCCTTAGTCTTAGGATGACAGTGTTCTACTTACCTGTCATTTTGACTCATTTCCCCAGGTGGGGAAGGGAACACTCTACCATAAAATATAAATCTTTTTGGCTTTCCAAAATATACCCAGAGGAAAAAAACACATATACTCCGAAAAGTAAGCATTAGATTTTTATATAAATGACTGTGCCAGACAGTAAGCTTTTTCCACATTAATTTGAACATTTTCCCTACCACGCTTCCAATTAGTAGATTTAGAGGACCCTCTGGCAGCACTACCGCTGAGGTCTCACTTGAGGGACTGTACAGACTCCCTTGGTTGGTTGGCCCCGTTCTGGGAGCCACTGGATGCAAAGTGTTAACTGAAGCGCTTTAGGACCAAACAGGTTTCACATGGCACCCAGTGCACAGCCTTCAGACAAGCCACCGGTGCACCCACCTGGAAGTCGGCAGTTACGAACCCCCCACAGACGTCGATTAACTCGGTCATGTCGTAATAGGCATCAAAGGTCCAGACACAGCTCTTCAGGTTGAGGTGTTTGTAGAGCTGGATGGTCTTGTGCTCCCGGACACTGGGGTCAAACTGGAAGGGGCGGTCATAGCCAGGCCCCATGGCCGTGCTGTCATAGACCTTGTCGTCTAGGAACCCTGCCTCTGTGGGGGACAGGGAACAAGAAACAGTAACCCAGTGTGCAGACTTGCCCCCGCTGGCTGCCCTGGAGCTGGGTGGGGAGAAGGGAGACGTTTCTCTGAGACTGATAGAGTTTTCCCTCCATCCGAGACTCTATTAATAGAGCAACCCAGGGCTCCCAACACACACAACAAGAAGTGGATGGGCATTGGTTAGCTGCCTGCTGCCTTGTGCTAGAGTGCCTGGGTTCACAGATGCCTCTAAGGGGCTGCAGGAACCTGGGAAGAAAAGGGGAACAAATGCTACCGGAAATGAAGACCTCAGCTCGGTGGCCCTGCTTATCTTGGAGAAGAAAACACATTGAAGCTTTGCCACACCCAGCAAGTCTGGTTCTGTGCTTCATAATCAGCCCTTGAAGACATGGGTTTACTATATGGATAATCTGTTGATGAGTTATTATTTTTCTAAGACCAATTTTTTAAGACTGATTTTTATAAAATAGCTTTTATGAAAAGCCAACAAACATCTGTCTATGCCTTCCCCACCCCACAAAGTTCCTGAACTCTTGGGAAAAAACACACAACTTAATTGTGTGTTAATGAGTAAATAGCTCGCTAATGATGCTTGACTAAAACTTCCCTGCCACAGGCAAAAATTATTGGATCAAATGCTGCCAAGCAACTGAACTACTTTAAATTAAGGAAGACCTTTATGCCATGGAGGGCTTAGACACAGATACAACTTCAGAATATTAGGGTTGAGATTTTTAGAGTACTAAAAGAACTCTAGTATTCTGCAAAAGTGGATGCATTTTTTCAGCACCCAACCGTCTGCCCCACGAGGACTAGGATCTCAATTCACACGTGTTGGATTTAATTATTTGAGTAGGAAGAGGTGCAAACTTTCAGCCTATGAACATAGTATGTTTCTTTCTCTAGCTCTGTATGTGGAGTGATTAAGCTTTCATGTATAGCTCAGTGACTTGGGAATAATTTACACTCAACTAATTTCTACTATATGAAGACCGTCACTATGCAAAGTGATGCTTAATGCATATGAAAGAGCATATGAATGCTTTTCTATCTTCAAAAACACTGTTAAATGACCCATTAGTGTGAAGGCAGGAAGAGCACATTTAGTGAGCACTTGCTAAAGTCAATGGGAAGGGACTGGATCCTTAGTAAAGTAATGTCTGCTGTGGAAGAGACACCACCCCAGCTGTCAGCTCCTTAGGGTCTGTGTCAGCCACAGAGCCACTCAGCCCGAGGCCACGCCCTGGCTGGGGCACCAGTATCCAGCGACTGAGCAAGGCGGTTAGAAGGTCTGTCTCTTGGGGCTGACAATAGGACAAGTCTGACTGGTGGGCTCTCTCCAAAGTTCCTGGGAGAGCTAGCTAGTCCAGGCCTCATCGGGCTGCATTGCAGCTGGACTTCTCCCTCTGTCCAGTCCTGCTTCCTCTCCTTCCCGTTCATCTTGGCCCCTGACTCCACTTCTGCTCCTGCTCCTGAAGAACCCATCCTAGAACAGGTAACATCTGCACGTGAGCTTCCTAAAGAGGCTGTGATAATGCGATTTATGGGCACAGATCATAACATGCTCACTTAGAGGGACGGGAAGGAACAAAAATGTACCATAGGTGGCGCTTTAAAAACTCCAGTGCATTTATGTGAGTCAGAGAAAGACAAATACCAAATGATTTCACTCGTTTGTGGAACCTAAAGAATAATACAAATGAACAAACAAAACAGAAACAGACTCCTAGATACCGGGAACAGACTGATGGTTGCCAGAGGGGAGGAGGCTTGGAGGACTGGGTGACAGGATTGAGAAGTACAGATTGGTAGTTACAAAATAGTCATGGGGATGTAAAGTACAGCATAGGGAATATAGCCAATGATATTGTAATAACTACGTATGGTGCCAGGTGGGTACTGGAAATATCAGGGGGAACACTTTGTAAAGTATATGATTGGCTAACCACTACGCTGTACATCTGGAACTAATACAAAATAATATTGACTGCAAACTAAATAAAAAAATAAGTGAATAAATAAATAAAAATGCTAATGCATTTAATCCTCACCTTCACTGGTATCAATTGTTTCCTCATGTTGTAGGTAAGAAAAGAATGGCTTGGGGAGGTCCAGCTATTTTTGTTCAGTTGTATAGGTAGTGGACTAAGGATGTGAATCTAAGTTGGTTTGATTCCAAAGTCCCTGGTTTTTCCTATTCATGTCCCTGTCTGAACTGCTTAGGTTCGGTTGCCTGTTAAGAAGGAAATCCACTAATCATGCGTGTCATGGGTCTGGGAGAACATGAAGAGCAGGGTTCACTCAGTTGCACCCCTGAGGGCCACTGCGCTGTGCGGGAGCGGGTGAACCAGCACGGAACGCATCCCTCACCTGAGATGCCTCTGAGATCGCGGGTGGTGACGAGATTGGAGCAGATGTGCTGGTGTCTGTAGATGGACTCGGATAACAGGAAATGCAGGTTGTGCAAGGGCATGGTGGAGATGAGGGGCAGCATTCCATCCTGGTGTGGGATCTGCACCGAAATGTGGATTCTAAGGGGGGAGAGGGCAGAACAAAGTGTTTAGGTGCATGCTATTAGCAGTTCACAGGGTACATTTCTTTCTCCAAACCCCCTTTGTCTTCACCAGTGAATTTCCCAATTTTTTTTTGTTTCCCAAAGCTTTCCATGTTGTAAGATTTCTCTCTGAACATGAGGGTCTGATGCACACGTGGGGTTGTTTTTTCTCCCAAGAGATCCTTCAGACTCAGGACTGATAGCAATCAAGAATTATAGATTTTTTTTTTGTTCAATACAAGAAAAGATAACATCACAACCACAAATTACTTTAACGCTTTCTTTTGCTTTGAATGGAAGCTTTGTTTCCTCATGAGCCAAAGCTGAGTGACAGCTATAGGTGCTGACGGCTATAGGCTTTCCTTCTGTCTCAGTGAGTGTGTGGGGGTTGGGTGGGGTCAACACTCATATTTCTTTAAAACATATGTTTTAAACATAATTTTTAAAATAAAAGACATCATTGAGCTCTTACACGCTAAGGCCAATATCTCTACCCAAGAAAATATCTTAGGAGCAGTAATATCCTACTCATCCCGTGCCTCCCCAGCTGAAAGACCTTCCGTCTCCTCAGTGGCCTCAGTGGGCAACACGCTCTCCTGAGATCTACATCCCCCAGCCTCTGAGTGCCTTTCCACCAGAAACTCTGTAACTTACTTATACTGGCTGCTATTTCTTGTATGTCTCCCTGCCTCCCCACTCTGAGGACCAGACCATTTCCTTCACTTCTTTTGTTTCTCTAGAGCACGTAGCATACAATTCTAAATAAAATATAAGCCTAATAAATATTGGTTGAGACTGCACCACAGTGGACCTGTACTTATAGGCTGTGTGTTTTTTTCATTGTACCAAGTTTAAATTTTTAGAATGTTTATTGAGGTGCATTTTGAGTTTTACAGCTTATCTCTCAGAGCAAAGACCCACATTTATAAGAGGAATTAGAATTCTGGGATATGAACAGGATGGCTCTTGGTCAGTAGTGCCCTGGGTACTTCTGTTATTGCTTTTTAACAAAGATAAATTTTATTCTGTTAGAACAAAAGAAGGATTTGCCTATTCTTAGCTATATATTCAAATATGTTTTTTTTCCATGCAAATGAGCCCCTTTCCCTGAACTCAGTTGCTCATAAAGGCACACATATAAACACTGTGAGGTTTAATGAATATGTACAACATACATAAATTCTTTTTCTTTATTTGCTATGCAAAAATGAAAGTATTCATCTTCCATAAAAATCAGGTGGCACAGGAAAACATAAAAGCACATATATCCTCTGGGGAAGCACTGTCCTAGGCACAGGGGATACAAAATAAACACTCATGGTCCCTGCCCTCACCATCCACTATCGCAGTGGTTCTCAACCTGTGGGTCTCGACCTCTTTGGGGGTCGAACGACCCTTAGGGGTCGCCTAAGACCATATCAGATATTTACATTACAATTCATAACAGTAGCAAATTTACAGTTATGAAGTAGCAATGAAAATAATTTTATGGTTGGGGGTCACCACAACATGAGGAACTGTACTAAAGGGTTGCGGCATTAGGAAGGTTGAGAACCACTGCACTATCGGGACAGAGAGGGAATGAATAGTGATAATGCTCGGAAAGAGGCACATGGGTGCCAGAAGAGCTGGAAGGAGGCTCTTTCCAAATGAAATTGGAGGAGATGATGAGAAGTTCTTAGAAGATATGCTCTGAGCTAAGTATAGTAGGACAACTAGATCTAACTACACTGCGTGGGAGGGGGTGGGGGTTGGAGTCAGGAGTAGCAGCATGGCGGGGCACGCCACCTAAAAGAGTTTGAAGCCCTGGGGAAGTTGCAGTGATTCTCCGTAGTGGACTGGCAGGTGAAAATGTCAAGGGGAGAGAAATGAGGCTAGGAGAGGCAAGGGGACAGAAAGTTTTTCTGAAGCATGCCTCACCACTACACCTGTTTTGCTGAAGCATCACTCATAGACCCGCCCTGCCTAGAGGACACACACAGAAGAGCCCTCCGCCCCGTCACTGTGGAAAGCACCACCAGCCTGACCTGTTCGGATGCTCCTTGTGTTTGACATCCAGGTATTTCAAGGTCGCGATGAAGGACTGGGCCTGGAAGCCTCTGGCTGTCCCCGCCACGACGGGGGTGTGGCAGATAGCACTGTCTGTCCCGATGGTAACAACGTTGCTCCTTAAGGGGGTCCCCACATGACCCACTTTGTCTACAGCCTTTGCCACACAACGCACATGGAACCTCCGGCTGAAGTAAATGCTATCCAGGACCTACCGGGAAGAATAAAACACCTCAGACAAGTGTACACTACTTAAACAACTCCTTCAACTGTATCTTCCGGATGATATGACACAAGTTCCTGGTAAAAGATAATCTGTGAAGACAATTCATCATCCATCCATCCACCCACCCACCACTCCAGTATGACTCTCTACCAGGAGCCAGGCACGATGGACAGATGGTGAGTACTTACAGCCTAATTCAGTAACACCACTCCAGTATGACTCTCTACCGGGGCCAGGCACTATGGACAGATGGTGAGTACTTACAGCCTAATTCAGTAAGTCAGACAATGAGCAAGTAGACAGATGTGGAGCAAGAGCCAGAGATGACTGGTTCCGAGTGCCATACTGTTCTCTTTACCTGTTAGGTTCTGCATAAGAACCTCTCAACAGGTTTTCAGCCCTTCTAGCAAGAGTCATTGGCCTCCAAGTCAAGTTTGTTTAAGGCTTGGTGCCTGGATACAGAGGAGAGATGCTTCCTTCTTAGGAGTTCTTAGTTTTCTTAGTTTTCTAATTCTTTCTCTCCTGCAACCCCCATCTAACGACCACACACATAGCTTAAAGCTGGGAACTTGGCTACTGACACCGACTGGCCTTTGAAGGTCGTCCTACAGATTCTTTCATGCTCCCAGACATACAGAAGCCACAGAGTGCTTAACTCCATCAACGCAGAGGCAGCGTGGTCACCAGGACTCTTAGGTTATGTGCGCATACAGATGGAGAAGCAAACAACAGGAATAATTAATTGGTAGTCTTGTGTGCCATAGACCTCCCACAAAGCAAACATACGAACTTATAAATTCTACCCATGAAAACAATTTTCACTGAAGTCTATTAAAAATTAAAGAAGATTTTCCCATTAAAAATTTTAATTAGCTGCCAACGCCTTATTTGTTTATTTATACATGGACTTAGTTCAGAAGGGATTTGAGGCAGCTTACCAAAATGCATAAAATACAAAGATATTAAATAAATAATTGAAGAAATAAAGATAGAGCAAAGGGAACTGGGGTAAAAGTATTAGTCACCAATTCGTTGCAAGAAGAAAAACTGAAATATAAAGTAAAATTACGAACTTGGTACCTGTTAAAAATATTTGGCTCAAATCAGAGCAAACTCCCTTCATGGTTTCGTTGAATGGAGAATTAGATACTTATGAAACAATACACTATAAAGGCTTGCCATTTAAAGTTCTTAATCATATAAAATATATTTTAAATTTGAGCTAGGTTATGTTGCAAATGACTTAACCTTCTAGCCTTTCTGAATAAGCTGTGCCAAAGCACTGGGCATCAATCACCTCACTTTATCCAAAGCCTCCCATCTATGTCTAATAGTTCTTCCACTAGTATCCCATTGAAGTGATGCACTTATTAAAGTGGGAACAAACTGTGGTTTGAATAGGAGAAACGAGAGAAATTCAGTCTGAAAGAAATTTCTAATTTCCCAGATAATTAAGTGCATGATTTCAGTACAAAATCATTGAGTGCTTACTATGTGCCAGATATGGGGCTGAGCCTGCACCCCACTGCTTCCAGCTCTCTCTCTGAAGAGATGAACTTGGCTGGTGCGATGAGCAGTCCCTGTTTTCTCAGCCTGGGAAACCATCTCTGTTCACCACTCTCTGGTGGTGACAGAGGTGTTGGTCTGGTCTCCTCTCTCTTTGAGGACAACAACTGCACTATGAACTTGCTTTCATGTTTTCCCACAAGACTTTGTACAATGCTGATCACTCAGTAAGAATTTTATGGAAGAAAAAAAAAGAATTTTATCTTTTTGTTTAATAACTGGTCCCTGCTGTGTGCCATGGATGTGTTGGCCACTTTGAAAAATACAAATGTGGTAGAACTCTTGGTCCATGTCTTTAGAGTTTATAGCCTACTTCAGTGGTCGGCAAACTGCAGCTCGCGTGCCACATGCGGCTCTTTGGCCCCTTGAGTGTGGCTCTTCCACAAAATACAGTGCGATTGAAACTTCGTGGCCCATGCGCAGAAGTCGGTATTTTGTGGAAGAGCCACACTCAAGGGGCCAAAGAGCCGCATGTGGCTAGCGAGCCGCAGTTTTCTGACCACTGGCCTACTTGTTGAACGATTAGAGAGATGTGAACAAAAAGTGATCTTTAATTGTACCTAACTGGAACCTTTGACTTACTATACCATTTATAGGTCACTTTTATATCTGATTTGCCGATGACCTTGTCAAATGGCTAAGTGGAAGAGGTACAATTTTGCAGATCAGGAAACTGCAACTCAGAAAGATGAAGACTTATTTGGCACAAATGTCAAGAGTGTAGAGGATGAGAAATTCTGTTCCAACATAAGAGTAATACCAAACCTCTCAACATCACATAATTAAAAACAAACAGAATTAAGATTTGTAAAAAGGTTGTCTGAGTACTAGCTTAGTTCTTTCTACTACACCATGTTACCTTCCTTATATATAAGAATAAAAAGACTATGTGTACCTGCTCATTTGCTTATTTTATTTATTTATTATTAATTTTTTAAAAAATATTTTTATTGATTTCAGAGAAGGGAGAGGGAGAGAGATAGAAACATCAATGATGAGAGAATTATTGATAGGCTGCCTCTTGCATGCCTCCTACTGGGGATCAAGCCCACAACCCAGACATCTGCCCTTCAGTCCATAGGCCGATGCTCTATCCACTAAGCCAAACCAGCTAGGACTCATTTGCTTATTTTATTCCAAATGCCATACATGGACCTTAGGGAGCTTGACAGAGTCTAAGGAACAAACAGAAATATCAGTTCTTTCCCTACGCAACCAGGCCCAGACCCCAGACCTACCATGTGGTTGACGCTGGTGAACGGTGTGTTGTCAGTGATGGTCTCAAAGGGAGACCGGGCCCCAAAAAAATCTGCCCTTCAGTCCACAGGCCGATGCTCTATCCACTAAGCCAAACCAGCTAGGACTCATTTGCTTATTTTATTCCAAATGCCATACATGGACCTTAGGGAGCTTGACAGAGTCTAAGGAACAAACAGAAATATCAGTTCTTTCCCTACGCAACCAGGCCCAGACCCCAGACCTACCATGTGGTTGACGCTGGTGAACGGTGTGTTGTCAGTGATGGTCTCAAAGGGAGACCGGGCCCCGTTGCCATCAGTGGGGGCGGCCACTTCCCAGCTGAACTGCACGGACGTCTGGTTGATGCCAGCCTCGCTGCAGCGCTCCCTCGTGATGGCATACTTGGGGAAATGAGGGTCGCAAGGGGTGACACAGACCAGAGGGTAACCTGGGGAGGGAGATTTCTTGACTCCTTCCTTGGTAACCTCTTCCACATGGTCATAGTCCGCAAGTGTGACAACCTGCAAAGGAGCAACAAAGCTTCAGCCCTGGTTAGGTGTCGGGAAGGTGAGAGTACTAAGGCTCTAAAGCAGGGGTGGGGGATGTCTGGCCCGCGGGCCCTATAAGGCCCATGAAATCATCTGGTCTCGCCCTGCCAAGGCAAGCGCAGGCAGGACTCAAAATTCAATAAATCTAGGAGCTTTTATTCATAGTAACCTAAGTTTATGTTAAGTGAATTATATTAAGCAAATTATGTTATAAATATCCAATGGCCCTTGGCAGAAAATAGGTTCCCCACCCCTGCTCTACAGGATTCACAAGATCACTTAATTTCCAGGGATTCTTGAAAACATAACAGGAGTTTACAATGCTTTACAAAGCATCCCTAAAAGGTAATGCAGACCTTAGGCAGTGGAGAAGATCCTCCTACTGGTCAGCTAGAAGCTTTATTATCTTATTAGCATTATTCATAAAGCAGAGCTCTATCACTCATGTGGAAAATACTTTTATTTTCCTGCAAATATAATATTTTCCATGATATAGTAACTGAAGCTATATCATGAATGGCAGTTACTAGTTTAAAGTTGCCTTAAATTATTAATGGTATGCAGTAGTGCATTCAGCAAAATAAAAGTAAATAAAGGTAGTGTATTTCTTCTATGGTCAATCAAAAGACACATTTTGAAATGATCCTTCTAGTATGAGACTAGTCTGGGGAGGTTAGAAGACTTATTCTGACTGCTTCTTTACTATGGGTTAGAATTCCTTTGGCAACCTCCGGGCATTTTCCTCCTAATTGTAGAGTCAGTGCATTTATTCTTTACACCCCCAAACTGGGAATCACGGTATCTGTACTACATTTCTACAGATACTTAATTCTACATATGTGTGGCCAATAGGTAGAATAATAGATATGGGATTGCATTACTTTTTTTTTTTTACTCTTTTAGGTCCCACCAAAGAAGTGAGAATATCACTTGTATTGTGCTTTCTGTTTTATCAGACTGAGGTATGGGCATGGTTTGGTCTTCCTCTTATGTTGGAACAGAATTTCTCATCCTCTGCATTCTTGACATTTGTGCCAAATAATTCTTTGTCATTGGAGCTGTCCTGTGCATTGTAGGATGTTTAGTAGCATCTCTGGCTTCTACCCACTAGATGCTATTAGCACCTACTGACAGTCATAACAACAAATAATGTCACCAGAGATTGCCAAATGTGCCATAGAGGTAGTGGTAGAGGGTGGGGGTTTTGCGGAGGAGGGGAAAGGATTGCTCCTGGTGAAGAACCACTGTGTTAGAGGAATGAAGGAGTATATAGCACTGGAAGTCCTACTTATTTCAAGTTCTCATCTACTAGTCACTAAGACATACAAGCAATCCTTCCCGTCAAGCTACTCACAATGGGTGGTGCTGGCAGTATGAGACTCCCTGCTGCCTCCTGGTCTAGGATAGTCACTGTGGCAGTGGTCACTTCACCAAGAACTGCTTCCACCGGGTCATCTGGGCCAAGGACTAGGGAGAATGATTCATGCCATTCCCGGTCTTCATTGGACAGGATCTCGACTTTAAAAAAGATATGATCCACACCTTCGGCAAGGACAGAACACAAGGACAGCAGAGGTCCCAGTTAGGTGACCGACCTAAGACAAGGCTTCATGTTTAAGTATGCCCTTTCCTTTTAAGGGCTTCCTATAACTGCAGTGGTGCTGGTCACGTTGGCCCCATCTCAAACAGGGAATCTGTTTTACGGACCTAATTCCACCTGTGGTGGAGGCTCAGTATTGCAGATTTACTATTCTATACCATATGAGGATTAATGGCCCCTGCCTGACACTAGTTGGCAGTAATAAAAATCTATGATCCAAAACGCACTCCACCCTGGTTATGAGGGGTTTTCTTGCTTAATTTTTCTTTCACCTTTACACTTAGGCATGAGCGCCTGTGAGGCTGCCAGTGCTTGCACACAACACCCTTCAAAGCTGTCTCCCGAGAAGCAATAGCTCAGAGGCTATCTACCAGGCCAGTCTCTGCCAAGTCGAGAATGTAGTTTGTAGGCCTTAAAGGGGGGGTGGGGTTTGAATCTCAGAAACCCGTTACCTTTTCCTAAAATGATTCTCTACTCGGTTACTTCTAAGACCTGTATTTTCCCCAGATCCTCATGCAGAAAATGAAAAAGTAAAGGTACTTGGAAGAGAGGTCCTTGTGCAAGTGTGGAGGAAGGGCACCTACCTTCCCAGCAAACACCAACCAGACACACAAAGGACAGAGCCGAAAGCCCTTTGAAGCTTCGGGGGCATGAGAGAGACACACAGAGACCCCCAAACTCACTTCTGGGGAAGTCACTTTCTCCCTCCAATTGCCAACACATCTCTGAGAAGACCTTCTAACACTGTTACCCACTTCTGGCTACATTACAAATGATGCCATTGTCTACATTCACCTTTTCACCTTACACTGTTCCAGAAAGTTCTGTGAAAAAACCTAGCATATAATTTAACTCCTTCCCTGTCTCACTCCTCCCATCAAATTAATACATGAGACAGCTGTTTGTGACTTCAATCCCATCTTCCTCTCTTCTCTGACTTGTCTCCATTGCTCTCTCTAGGATAAACCTATTTTAGTTGTTAACCAGAGTGTGCCTTCTGGATTTTAGTCACCCCGGCCTAAAGGGCAGCACAGTGGTTGGCACCAATGTTTGTTGAATGAGGGCAGTCACGTACACTTTTTAAAAATCAAGTGCTCATATTAACCAAATCACAGGCCAACAACAACAACAACAATCCTTTTAAATGAAGCAAAATGCCAAGGATGTTCTGAAGTCAGTGCCCTATTTCCCCCTTCCCCATGCCATTTTTACTAATTAAAAATTATAAAGACTCCTTCCATCTCAAGTGTGTGCTTAAAAAATACTTTATGCTATTGGAAAGTTTTCCTCTTTTATTTTTCTGCTCATTCCTTTCCTTAAATATTAGATATTAGGTTCTCTACTCAGTAAAACCCACATGGGGGGATTGGCATTCAGTTACCGGGACTGAACTTCAAGACTCGGCTCTTCGGGTAGTAATCCACACCAGACTGGGCAGACCCGTCCCGCGTGCTGCAGCGGATCTTGGACGTCCTGTTCTGATCCCCTTTGCGGATCACCTTGATGTTCAGAATGGCCGTGGCATCGGGCCCCGGGGGTTCCCGGACTTGGTACGCAGCTTCTTCAAACTCAATGGTGGGGGCTGAAGAAACATGGTCAGGGAAACAAGAGCAAGTTAGAAAAGCAGGAAAGATTCCGACTCCCATGGAAACACCTGCTAATGACAAGAAGGGTTTTTCACAGTTAACAACACAAAGACAAAATGCCTTACTGTTATGAAAATCAATCAGTATTTACCCCTAAGCAATGCTTGGGAAAAAGAAATTTATTTCTGATTTCATAGAAGTCATTTCTCATTCATTTCTTATTAAAAACAGGATAGTGAGGGAAATATTTTTAAGGACTTTGGAAGCATGATGTCCAAGTTTCCATCAAGGCATCACGACTCACAGAATGTTTTAAAATGTGCAGGCTTTATCAAGGGACTGAGCCACAGTAAGCAACTGATAAATTTGTATCAACTGATTGCATGAATCAACTCCTTTTCATTGTTGATACATGAATTTCTAAGGTTAATAATTTACCTCATTTATATGTAACTTAATTTTACCAAATCCATCTCTCATCTCTGGTCCTTTGAATCCTCCTGCCGGGAGCTCTCACCTCCCCCAACCCTCAGCTTTTCCTAACTTCTCACAGGTTATTCAGTTAAGAATGGGTGGTTTTAGTGACTGACTGCAACGATAATTCAGGAACGGAAGACTTCTGAACACATTCTGGTTTAAAGTATTATTGTTATTGCTAGGGTACAGTTAATGATATAGTGACAATTCTTAGAAAAATATCAAATTATGCCTTTTTTTGATATATTCTTATCGGGAAGGGCAAAGTGGTAGTGGTAGAGAGAATAAGATAAACAATTCAGAGCAATTACAAGCTGTATACCATTTTTCACATATAAAATTTTGCAGAAATTTCTAGAGTCTCTGTGTTCATTTCCCCCTCAGAAAGTCAATTCTTTCTAATTGTAGAAGATAAGCCTCATTTGAGACAGCAGAGTTTTAAAAAAGAATGTTTTTTGAAACTTAGGCGTGTTGCTGCAACACACTGTGAATTTGTTACCCCTCTGAGCTTCGGCCACTGGCTTCTCTGTGTGCCTGGGAGAGGGTACTGTAGGGGGAGAACCTGAGTTTCCTTGGGTAAAGGAGTAATTCAGCTCCCAGGCTGGCTTTTCTTATTTCACCCAATGTCCAAATTAGTCCCTGATTTTATATATGTGAGGATGAATAGTGGTATAAATATTAAATAAAATTGCCATTACTATGTATAATGTTATTATCCATTAACTCATTAAAATATCAATTTTAATAGAACAATTATACCCAATGTCCAAATTAGCCCCTGATTTTATACATGTGAGATGAACAGTGGTATAAATATTAAATAAAATTGCTATTACTATGTATAATGTTATTATCTATTAACTCATTAAAATATCAATTTTAATAGAACAATTATGTCTCAATTTGGAACAGATTTTTTTTTCCCTGGTGCATGGGGCACTCTTTACTACAACCTGACCAAAGAATTTACGATTTGTTTTTTTAGGTTAGTAGGCCAAGTTAATGGAAGAAAAAAAAACTGAGAAATTAGACTTTTCTAATTTCAGTGTTTAAATCAGTTCATTGGATTCAACTCATTCTGATTGTATTTCCAATTTTGCTCCAACTGCAGTGATTTAAAGTTTTATTCTCTGCCTGTCTTAGTGTCTCTGTCCTAGCCTTTAACTATACTCCTTCCTTTCTCTTGGCAGTGTGGTAGGGAATAATGAGATTAAAACTACCTATAGCCCTAGTAAACTTATAGGAGCTTTGTAGATGATGATCATTTGCTGCCAACATGTTATAAATATAATGCAGGACTGTTATCAGTAGGCATTTTTGTAGCCCTTTCATTTTTTAAGACACTTATAATTGCATGGTTAGTAAATGTGATGTACAGCAAGTGTACATTAGCGTTGCAGTTACCATCTTCATCATTGGATATGGTGATGGTGGCCATGCTATTCTTTCCAACTCTGGCTCCACTCCAGTGATTCCCAAGGGGATGGCCGAGGAAGACCCTGAACTGTTCCTCAGGCTCAAACATCGAGTCATCATGGATGGAGACAGTGCAGTTCTTCATCTAGAGTCAAGGGAACAAGATAGAGTCAAATTTGCATTGAGATGTCAATAACTTCCTTGATTTTCCTAGAAAATGATCTTTCTTCTTTGTAGCATCAAAGAGTCAACACAAATTCTACTTAAAATTGAATGTTATCTAGGAGTTCATGTCTATGTGGGACTTACCTATATGTGGAGCCTTGTATGAGAACATTCCAAATCATTTGAATTACTGGTGATGAGTTATGAAAAAGAAGATCAAATACAGAACCCACTAATGATCATGTGTAGAACATTTGCACGCTTTCCCACATTTTGCCTGGGCTGATCAATACACTGGTATATATTATAATAGGTAGATTTCTGATGTTGGGGTTTAACAAATGGATTAGACTTCCTGGAGAGCTGAACAATGTTCCTTGTCCATTGTAAAAATGGAATAGTCTTATAAAGAGCTTAGAAAGGCTTCCTGTTAGGCTAAGGACACCTTTAAGTGCTGCAGAATTCTCAAATGTGCTGCCAAAGGTTGTCTCATCTGAAAACTACTGAGTATTGATTGAGTCTCAGAATATAACCTAAAGCCCTGTTTGATGCAAAGAAATAGTGTTTCTCAAACTGACCATTCTCTACTGGGGATTGTGTCCTTGAGATATGTAAAATAAGGTCACAATATTTTGGAAAACAGAGCAGCCTCAATGGTGGCTTCATGTGATAAGTGGGGTTATTTTTAGTTGAACCATTTAAAATCCACTATACTACCGTATTGCATAGACTATGTGGGTGTAGAGAAGTTTCATTCTCATACTTCCTAATTACACTAAGTGAAAGGAGAGCATGCCTGTGAACATGATATGTGGCTTGCTAACCTGGTTTTAAATCCCTGAAGAATGTTCCTTTTTTTCCCCTACCACATCTTTCTTACAATAACAATTTTTTATAGAAAATATGAATTTAGTAGTGAATCTTCAGGATATCTTTAAAAGAAGACATTCTAGTGAATGACAAGTTCCGAAGACATATTGCTTCGTAAGCCAAGAAAAATGAAGATTCCCAAGTGTGCTTATGAATGATGATAGATAGATTGTCATGTGGGTAACATTTAGACTATTAGACTATATTTCTTTATAATTTTATTAAATGACAAACTGTCTCTTGGATAGGTAGAGAATCCTTTTTTGAACTTAAAACAAATACAGACATGTAGACTCAAAGATTAAGATTGCATCTGTAGTATTTGTGTGTATTTTTAAGTACATGCTTCAACCTGCCACCAGTAAAATTCTTATAAAATACATAACTGAACCAGGCTTTTCTGCGTCATAAATATGTAATAGACTGAGAGTCCCAAAGAAGAAAGCTATCACTTTTATTAAATATGAACAGAAAAATAATCTGGGGTGAACTGGTATGGGTAAGGTCTTCTTATGCTAAACTTCAAAAGGACTAATCATAAAACCAAAATTATATATATTAGATTGTATCAAAATCAAAGACATCTGTTCAACTAAGAACATCAGGGTTCAAGATAATAGATAAGTGACAGAAAGTGAAAGTATATCTATAATATCTAAAATGTCTAACTGGTACGAAATTAATATTTAGAATATTTAAGAAAGTATAGCAGATCAGTAAGAAAAAGACAGCAATGTAACAAAATAAGGAACAGAGGATTAAAATAATACATTTTTGCCCTGGCCAGTTATTTCAATGGTTAGACCATTGCCCCATGGACTGAAGGGTCACAGGATCAATTCCCTGTTAAGGGCACATACCTTGGTTGCAAGTTCTCCAGCCCTGGTAGGGGTATGTTGGGAGGCAACCAATTGGGGTGTGTGTGTGTGTGTGTGTGTGTGTCTATCTCTCTACCCCTCCTCCCTCCCACTTTCTCTAGAAATCAATGGAAAAAATATCCTCTAGTGAGGATTAAAATAATAATAAATTTCAATAAGTGAAAGTTCAATAAGTTAACAAGTGTATAAACCACCATTAATTAGAAAAATGAAAATTAAAACAAGATGTAACTTTACACATATTAGATTAGCAAAAAGTCAAAAGATGAATAATGCTAAGTGTTGAAGAGGATGTTGGGTTACAACAATCCTTGTGTATTGCTAGTGAGATTCTGGAAAGTATTCTGACAATATTTGTTTTTTTTAAATTAAGCACATGCATGCCCTATGGCACAGCAGTTTGGCTGCTATATATGTATCCAAAGAAATTCCATCTCACATCTGTGAGTGGATAAGTATGAGGATGTGCACCGCAGCATTATTAGTGGTGGCGTAGTGTGCGGAGTTGACTGTCAGCTATTTCTATGGTTCCTCACTGTCTATTGCTGAGAACAGGTGGGTAAAAGGTAGTAGATTCAGCCCTAGCTGGTTTGGCTCAGTTGATAGAGCGTCAGCCTGAGGACTTAAGGTTGCCTCCTGGGTTCAATTCTGATCAAGGGTACATACCCCGGTTGTAGGCTCCATCCCCAGGCCCTGGTCAGGGTGTGTGCAGGAGGCAATCAATCGATGTGTTTCTCTCCCTGTCGCTCCCCTTCCCTCCTACTCTCTCTCTTAAAAAAAAATAAGTAGGAGATGCAGCCTGCAGGTGTGACTCAGTGAGTGTCGACCTATGCACCAGGAGGTCACTGGTTTGATTCCCAGTCAGGGCACAAGACTGAGTTTTGGGCTTGATCCCCTGGGGGCATACGGGAGGCAGCAGGTCAATGTTGATGTTTCTCTCTCATCGATGTTTCCATCTCTCTCTTCCTCCCCCCTCCTCTCTCTCCAAAATTAATAAGAACATATTTTTAAAAAGGTAGTAGATGCACATCATGAAAACTATGCAATAGTTTGAAGCAACTGATTAGATGTACACATCAATGACATAGATGAATAAAACATATTGCTGAGTAAACACAGTAAAAGTTTGAAAAAGATACAACACATAGCAATTTTATAAAATAAAAATTATGCACACAAAACAAGCATTTTTAAAGAACAAATACAAATTAAAAGATATATATTAAACACAACAGATTGATGAGCTCTGAGGTGAGGAAGGGAATGAGGAGAAGAGGCGTAGAATAAAAATAAATAAACAGAATAAGAGAAGGGCCTTGAACTAACCGACCAGGGCTTGTGCCTTGAATCAAGGGGCACAACTGAATCAACCGTCTGCAATTCAGATCCAAAAATGGAGAAATTTTAGTCTCATTCAATATATATTTTTGGCATACACTGAGTTTGATGCAGCCATACTTAGTGATTGGCATTTTTCAGGAGTTCCCATGCACTGTGCATTGCTATTCAACTGACTTGCATCTGCTCAATGTCTTCTCATCTGGTCCTATTCTATTGGTTCTATTAGCATGTATGTTGTTCTAGGACAGAGGCCCAGGTATTAGAGTATTGTCTATTCCTCCTTTACATGTAGAATCTCTTCGTCTCTAATGTTTCAAATTAAGAGGAGCCTTGTTCATTTGATTCTGATAAATTCCAAAGATATTACTCATCGCCTACATTTCCCATCTCAACCAATGATATATGTGTTTGGTTTTAAGTGAGAGACCAAGATAGCCACATAGAATGTATGATATAACTAAAAAATATTATCAATTAGTAAGAAATATCCTAAAATGTTCAGAATTTACCTAAATTACTTCACTGTGGACAAATAAAGGCATCAAGGACGAAAAGAATCTCATCATTCAGTCACCACAAATCCACTTACTTTCTCCCCTTTCAGAAACGTAATCCGTGAAGAGTCTGTATTTCTTCTCTCCTCAAAGTCCTCTGTGACTTGAGCTGAATGGCTCTGAGTATAGCACCTCACCGACGACTCATAGCTCAGGTCTCCACTCCGAATGATAGGCACGTGCAGAACACCCTCCTTCTCCTTCACTAGGAGCAAGTCCCTGGCAAACTGCATGCTGGGCACTGGGGAGCAGAAGGAAAGAGGGAGATATAGGGAGGTGGCCACAGCCCTCAGCAGCTCTCCGCAGCCTCGTGGCAGGAGGGCTCCAGGAAGGGCCACCCTAGGCTGGCCAATCACAGGCGGTAAGCAGATTTCAAGGCCTGATTGCTGCTCTCAGGGCCAGGGAATTGCTTCCACTGTGAATGTGGTTCCAATAAAATAGAACAAGTCAATTCTGCACCTGTTTTTGCCCAGCTTCAGGGTATGGTCACCATCTCAAATGCAGAAAAGCAATTCAGGTAAAAAAATGGGCCAGGTATAAGAAAAATTTTGATAGAGACTTGAGTACTCAAAAAGTTCACTTCCCTTCTAAGGCTACAATAAGGCAAACAGCAGTGCAAGCCTGCTGATAAGTGGCCACTCACACTGGTCCAGGGGCCAGGAAGACAACAAGGAGGAGTTGGGATATTGGTAAAGAGGGAAGAGCAGGCCTTGTTTCAAGGAGGTTGGCTTGCTGCTCCAGTCTTTTGTTGGCAGATCTTCCTATTTTCAAACAAAGCAAGACTTCTTATCTGGATTTTTATGTCATATCTCCTAAATTTTAAAATAACAACCCATTAAAATAGGAAAAAAGAAATTCCAGGCAAGTCAAAACTATTTGGGCCAAACAAAACACATCCACATGCTGAAATGTCCAGTGGGCCCCCAATCTGTGACCACTGCTGGAGTGTTACCTGTTCTCATAACTCACAAGGCCTCATTTGACTTTAGGGAGGGACAGTAGCCGAATGTGGTTAAAAGCAAAGGCTTTGGAGTAAGCAGGCTTGAATTTCCATCCCAGCTCTGCTACTTATTAGCTGTATGATATAGAGCAATCTACTTAGGTTTTATGAGACTTGGGTTTCTTCAATATGTAAATTGGAAATGTTAATATCTAACTCATAGAATTATCAGGAGTATTGAATTTAACAAGATTGTATGGGCACGGTGTTCAGTGCAGTATCTGGCACACAGTGACACTCAAACTTTGGTAGGGATTATTATCATATGGTTTATATTGGCCCCAATTCCAGGCTTCTCTATATGAAAGGTCATTTTTTCCCTCCTTACTTCCTGCAGTGCCCATGGTAATCCTCTGTATTAAGACATGTCCCCTTCCGAGAACATTTTGTTGACTGTAGGCTATTAATTTCTTAACAAAAAATACAAAGAGGTAGTCCCTCCAGTCATATGCCACATTAGCCTTTGGGGCTGCAGGAAGCTGACCCTATAGCTATAGACACCTAGCTCCTGGCTGGGTCCTGGGTATGCCCTGCCAAACCTGAAAGGAGGAAACAGGAAGGGTGAGCACACCAGCATTCAGCAAGTCCACTTGCAGAAAGCTGCTTGCCTCCAACCTCCCTCTGCTCAGAACTGCTGGCATCAGCAAAATAACACAAAACCATGAGCTGAACTAAGCCTAACAATTACCACTTATTATTGAGAAAAACCCAGAATACCACACCTAAAGGAAAATGAACAACTTTAGCATTAGGCTCTGAACAATTACCATTTAGGGCTCAGTCATCCAGTATAATGGTCTGTGCTATTAGAGAGAAGGTGGCAATGACATGACCTAGCACAGGAGGACAAGAAGGAAGCTTGTTGCCAATTTAAAAGTAACACAAGCAAGAAAGCTTTTCTGCTCATGGCAGATTATCTAATGCTTTGGATTGATTTTTCTTGCTGGCCTGACAGGCATCAAGTCAAGATGAGAGTTAAAAGCTAGAGTGGTTGTCTTTTCACTTTGTTGATGGTTTCCTTTGCAGTGCAAAATCTGTGTAGTAGTCCCATTTGTTTATTTTTCCTTTTGTATCCCTTGCTCCAGGAGAAATATCAGAAAAAATATTGCCACAAACAATGTCCAAGATTTTACTGCCTATGTTTTTTTCTAGGATTTTTATGGTTTTGATTCTTACTGTTAAGCCTTAATCCATTTTTAGATTAATGTATATGGTGTAAAAGGTGGTCTAATTTCATTTTTTTGCATGTATCTATCCAATTTTCCTGACACTATTTATTGATTGGATTATCTCTAGCCCATAATATGTTCTTGCTTCTTTTGTTAAATATTAACTGACTATAAAGGTGTGGGTTTATTTTGGGGTTCTCTATTCTGTTCCATTGATCTATATGTCTGTTTTTATGCCAGTACCATGCTGTTTTGATTACTATGGCCTTGTAGTATAGTTTGATATCAGGTAGCGTGATTCCTCCAACTTGGTTCTTCTTTCTCAAGATTGCTATGGTTATTTGGAGTCTTTTGCAGTTCCATATTATTTTTTGGAATATTTGTTCTAATTCTGAGAAATATGCCATTGGTATCTTGATAGGAATTGCATTGAATCTATAGATTGCTTTGGGTAGTATGGGCATTATAATGATATTAATTCTTCCTATCCATGAACATGGTATTAGCTTCTACTATTCGTATCTTCTTCAATTTCTTTCTTCACTGTCATATAATTTTTCAAGAACAGGTCTTTTACATCCTTGGTTAAATTTATTCCTAGGTATTTTTTTTAATGCAATTGTAAATGAGATAGGTTCTTTAGTTTCCCTTTCTGATAGTTCATTATAGGTGCATAAAAATGCAGCTGATTAATGAATATTTAGTTTATATCCTGCTACTCTACTGAATTCATTGATCAATTCTAGTATTTTTTGGGGGGGGGAATATTTAGGGTTCTCTAAATACAATATCATGTCATCTGCAAATAATGACAGTTTTATTTCTTTGTTTACAATTTGAATGCCTTTAATTTCTTCTTCTTGCCTGATTGCTGTGGCTATATTGAATAAGAGTGGTGAAAGCAGACACCCCTCTTTTGTTCCTGATCTTAAGGGAAACGTTTGTGGTTTCTGCCCATTGAGTATGATGTTGGCTGTGGGTGTGTCATATATGGCCTTTATTATGTTGAGGTATGTTCCCTCTATTCCCACTCAATGGGAGAACATATTCAACAATGACGCATCTGATAAGGGATTGATATCCAAAATTTATAAAGAACTTATAAAACTCAACACCAAAAACAAACAAACAAACAAACAAAAAACACCAATCCAATTAAAAAATGGGCAAAGGATCTGAATAGACATTTCTCCAAAGGTACATACAGATAGCCAATAAACATGAAAAGGTGCTCCATGTCACTAATCATCAAAGAAATACAAATTAAAACCACAATGAGATATCACCTCAGACCTGTCAGAATGGCTATCATCAATAAATCAACAAACAAGTACTGGCAAGGATGTGGAGAAAAGGGAACCCTTGTGCTCTGTTGGTGGGAATGCAGATTGGTATAGCTGCTGTGGAAAACAGTAGGGAGTTTCTTCAAAAAAATTAAAAGTGGAACTGCCTTATGACCCAATGATTCCACTTCTATGGAAAGTGAGCATGGTAGGGTATAAAAGCATAAGACTGGACTTGGATAGAGTGGGTCTGGGTTTTACAGATCCATCACTTCCTCTCTGTGTGGTCTTAAATTATTTAACCTTAGTTTCACAATTTGAAGAGCCAGTGAGATCTTTCTGCCTTAGAATGTGCACATTGAAGGGATTCAACAAAAGTTAGTACTCACTAGGACGAAGGATAACCAACAGAAGTAATTGCTGAACACTACAATGGGTCACTGAAATAGCTTTGGGGATTTCTTTCTTTGGGATAAATTCTGGACTGAATATATATTATTATAGTCTTCCTGAAAAATTACATATATATATTTAACATATTCATTTTCTAAGCTTGCAATCCTAATGCCCATCAACAAAAGATAAAAATAATGTAAGTGGAATCTTGTATTGATCAGAGTACAATGAAGTTTATGTGTTACTGGAGTCCCACTGGCAAGTATAATAAATTATAGGTGTGTCAGGAAGAAAAGAAGTTAACATGTAATAAAATCTACTATGTGCCTGATACTATGGTAGGTATTTTCACAAATTTTATCTAATTTATTCTTTACAACAATCTTGTAAGGTGGGTATTTACATGTTTTATAGATGAACAAAATGGGGCTCAATAAACTTAAGGCTGAAAGAGCAAGGAAGTGGTGGGCCTGGCATTAAATTTTAGGACTTCTGATTTTGCATTCATTTTCTACTTTATCAGAGGGAAATTGGCTATCTTTTCATGCAAAAGAATAAGGAGACTTTTCAAGAACAAAAGGAATAAATGAATTTCCTTTTTCTTTCTTTTTTTAACTTCGCTAAGGAAAAAAACCCCACAGAGTCTACTATTGCACAAATAGAACCCTTTAGTGTTGTATAAGGACAATGGGTTTGGAGCCAAAAGATCCAGAATGTATGCTGGTTCCTCCACATACTATGCTTGGTGAATGTTTCTTCCCCAATCAGTCTCATCTACAAAACAGAAGTAAAAGTGAAACCACTGGATTATGAGCAAAGGAGATAATGTCTAACAGATCACTCTGTAAACTCTGAAGTAACATGCAATATAAAGTAGAGTATTGTTATAATCTTGTTCATGCTTAAAGTTACCATTTTGTGAATCACAAATCTAATTGCAAAACTTAAAACTATAAAACTACCAGGAGAAAACAAAGGAGAAAAATCTTTGAAACTTGGGTTTAGGCAAAGATTTCTTAGATACAACACTGAAAGCTTGATCAGTAATAGAAATATCAATAAGTGGAACTGCTTCAAAATAAAAGCCTATTGCTCTTTTAAAGACATTGTTAAGAGAACAAAAAAAGAAGCAGTAGATTTGGATAAAATATTTGCAAAACACAAATCTTTGTCCAGAGCCTAAAACAATACAGTAAACAATCCCATTAAAAAATGGGAGTTTTCTACAATGCTTTGCCAAAGAAGATGTATGGATGGCAAGTAAGCACCTGAAAATATCTCAATGTCATCACTCATTCACTACCCACCTACTGGAATAATGAAAACACTTCATAAAAACTGACAGCACCAAATGTTGGTGTGGATGTGGAGCAACGGGAATTCTCACACACTGCTGGTGGTAACACAAAATAGTTACAACCACTTTGGAAAACAAGCTGGCAGTTTCTTAGAAGGTTAAACACTGACCATTTGATCCAACAACTCCACTCCTAAGTATTTACTCCAGAGAAATAAAAACCTATATTCACACAAAAACCTATATGCAAATGTTATAGCCACTCTGATCATAATTGCCCAAACCTGGAAACAGCCCAAATGTCATTCAGCAGGTGAGTGGATAAACAAACGGTGGTACATCCATGCAACGGAGATTATTCAGCAGTGGAAAGAGTGAACTACTCTTATGTGCAACAATATGGATGGCTCTCAAAGGCAGTAAGTATTCTGATGGAAAGAGCAAGACTCAAGGTGCTCATATTACATTGCATTTAGACATTCTGGAAATGGCATAACTTTATGGATAGAAAATAGATCAGTGGTTGCCAGGACTCAGGATGGGTAAGAGGTTGACTAACAGGGGTGTGAGAGAACTTTGTAGGGTTAGAACTGTTCAACATTTTAAAAAATAGTTTATTGGTTTTTAGAGAAATGAAGAGGGAGAGGGAGAGAGAGAAAAACATTAATGTGAGAGCACAACATCAATCGGCTGCCTCCTACATGCCCCCTATGGTGATCAAGCCCACAACCCGGGCATGTACCCTGACTGGAAATTGAACTAGAAACCTTTCTGTGCATGAGACAATGCCCAACCAAATGAACCATACCAGCCAGGGCTGTTCAACATCTTGATTGTGGTGGTGAGCACAATACTGTCCATCTGTCAAAATTCATAGAACTGCATACAAGAAAGGATAAATTTAATTCATGTAAATTAAACCTTAATAAACCTAGCTCTAAAATAATATACCATTTTTTTGCCTGGCTGGTGTTGCTCAGTGGTTGAGTGTCGACTTATGAACCAGGAGGTCACGGTTCAATTCCTGGTCAGGGCACATGCCTGGGTTGTGGGCTTGATTCCCAGCAGGGGGCGTGCAGGAAGCAGCTGATCAATGATTCTCTCTCTTCATTGATGTTTCTCTCTATCTCTCCCTCTTTCTTCCTCTCTGAAATCAATAAAAAGATATATTAAAAAATAAAGTAAGATACCATTTTGGACATATGCATATATTTCTTTTCTCTCTTGAATGCTACACAAAACAAAAAAGTGGTTAAAATGATTGTTTCTAGGGAGTGGAACTAGAGGATTGGGAGACAGGAGTAGAAGGAAGACTTAATTTTCATAGTATACCATTTTTGTCATTTGATTTTTAAAAATATATAAATGAATAAATAATTTAAAATAAATAAAAATATTAAAGATTGCTCCGCTGGGCTGTCTGTTCCTTTTTTGGTGCCTTTTCATTCACTGTAAGAGTTTAATCGTGGACTTTATTGTCAACCATAAAAATGCTGATTAGGGTCCTTCTGCTTGAGGTGGGAGGTTTGCCTTGATCTTCTCCACCCAGCTCTAGAATCTGACAATTCTAAGTTTCATCAATTCTTCCTAAGAAGCACCTGTCCCTTCTTTTTCATCCTGTTACTTAGGTTAGGTCTTCAGTAGTGACTGACAAGTTCATATACTTGTCTCTTCATTCTTGCACATCGTCTATAGGACAATGAGTTTCCTAAGACAAAACCACACACTCCTGTGCTGATGAGAATCTGTTGCTTCCCTCTGCTTATCGATTCCTTATGTTAGAACGTAAGATTCTTAGAACTTGACTCCAATCTATCTTTCCATTTCATTTCCTTTTATTCACCTCCTACTGGATTCAAAGCACAAGTAAGCATCTCACTGTTTTCCAAATATACACCTTTCAAAATTTTATGCCATTATACCTATTATATCTGTTTATTTGACAAAGCTTTCTCGTATTATCCATTAGGTAAATTACTATCACACCTGAAGACTCAGCTTAAATATCAGATTTCCTTCGTGAAATCTTCTATGATTCTTCCACACAAAGTTACTGTTCAGTCCCATCTACTCAGATAGCACTGGATTTACAGCACTGTCAGGCCATTTATCATACTAGAGGTCCAGTGGACGAAATTCGTGCACTCGCTGGGGAGTCCCTCAGCCTGGCCTGTGCCCTCTCGCAGTCTGGGAGCCCTCAGGGGATGTCCGACTGATGGCAGCTGGACATCCTTAGCGCTGCCACAGAGGCAAGAGAGGCTCCCACCACCGCCGCTGCACTCTCCAGCCGTGAGCCCGGCTTCTGGTTGAGCGGCGTTCCCCCTGTGAGAGCACACTGACCACCAGGGGGCAGCTCCTGCATTGAGTGTCTGCCCCCTGGTGGTCAGTGTGTATCATAGGATCGGTTGTTCCACCATTCGGTCGATTTGCATATTAGCTTTTTATTATATAGGATATCCTAACTTTTCAGTTTAAGGGTCTGATCCCCCAACTAGACATTGAACTTCTTGAGGACATGGCCCAACCAAGGCTTAAACATTTTTTGTGTATCTAGCAGAGTGCCAGAAACATGAACAATTATTTCTTTCTCCTATTTCTATGTAAATGTGTACATGCAGGTCCTTGTACACACACAGATATAACAGACATATGCACACATACATACACATGCACTTACACACACATACTCACATTTCTTGAGTGAAATGTGAATGAGGTCCAATGCATACATATGGAAGTTAAGGAAAAAATAGAACTATAGTCAGCCACCAGCTGGCAGCCCCAATCTCTTACCATCCTGGAATGTGTCATTAATGGCAATGACAGCTTGGAAAGGTTTAGTCAGTTCGGCCCCTTGTGCTGAGCTGAGGAAAACCACAAATGTCTCCAGCCCTTCAATTGCTGGATACTGAGTGTCATCTAAGATTGTCAAGGTGCAATACTAGGAGAAAAAACAGGATGTTAACTAGATTTACTGTGGTGATTGTCTTCAATATATATAGACATTGAATCATTACATTGTACACCTGAAACTAATATAGTGTTATATGTCAATTACATCTCAATTTAAAAAATGATTTTTAATTAAAAAAAAAGAAAAATTCAAGTAAACCTTACAGAATGCCAAACACATAACACCCATTTATTTTGGGAAATTAGGACACAGGCAACAACTTGTCTTTCTTTGGTGGTCTTAAACGCAGTTTCTTTTTATCCATAAAATTACACTCTTTTTATTACACACCCTTAGGTGTTTTGTTTCTAGATATTTAGATCAAACAAATGCAGTTTCTATCCTAAATCCGTGGTGCTGGATGTAAGATGGTGAAAACATCACTTGAAGAGTTTTGTAGAAGATCCCTCTAAGTTTGTTCTCTTGATTGTATGTTTGTGTTTTTGAAGAAAGGGAAGATAGTAATATTGCAAGTGGAGTTTAGTGTCCTCCAGAGAGTCTGGAGAGCAGACTAGATACCACATTAACAGACTCATCCAGCCTTTCACGGCTGTATGCTCACCTGCTCAGTGACACCTGGTCCGAATTCCACCTTCCTAGAGCTGGGAACATAGTCGACTCCTGGAGTGGCAGAAGCTGGGTCTGAGGGACGCGTAGCACACCAGACAGATGTGAAGGTCGAAAGGTCAGTCCCATGGCGGATAACTGGGATCTTCACTGCTCCTGAAATGAGATTCATAGATTCCCAAGGTCAACCTTGACCCAGAAAATCAATGGTACTTTTCCAACATGTTCTCTTTCTCAGCAGCAGCAGTTTTATCCTGCTGGCCTGTCTACTCTAACCTCAGCGATGCTTGGTGCTCCCTCTGAGGAAGGCTGAGGTATCACCCTCCTTCTTTTTGCCAACACTGAGATTAAGAGCAGACCTAGAGGAGGGTCTCATGCAGGTTGTGCTGGAAAGTAGCCCTTAGGGGAGAATGTTTTTGTGGCTTCATAAAGGAGACTGCTCACAGAAGAACAATGAACTGTAGGGGGAAGGATCCACTGGAAAACATTTCAAGCCTATATAGGGAGAAGAAATTCAGACGAGCGCCTCAGGGATGAGCTAGAAAATAGTCAATTAAGGAAGAACCAGCTATGGGACTCTATGGGGCCTGAAGCTGAATGTTCCTAATTAAATGTTCCAAACTGGTTTGATTTCCCCATTTTATCTGAGTGGTGCACACATCATTACTTAAACCATATGTGCTTATTGCTTATCTTAGGAATGAAACTCATTTTCTGGTCCATTGTGACATCATACTTCATAGGGTCCTAATGATATACATGTAGATTTTTAGCTGTTTTCACAATCAAGGTGAGAGCAAAGCTACATGAAAACCCATCAGTCACATTTTTCTAGTCAGTTGTGAAATGACATTAGTCATGACTGAGCATTTGGTGTATGGCAAAGGAAGTGGCATTGTAGAAAGGTCTGGGCTCTAAATCCAGCTCTGGCATATTAACTGCTTGATATCTGATGATTTATTTAATCTCTCTGAGTCTCCATTTGCTCTCCTCTATAATGTCATCTCCTCTACAGAAGATTAAGTGAGAATGCATGAAATGCATGTTGCTCAGTACCTGGCATTCCATAAGTACTCAAGAAGATCAGTTCCCACTGTCCCTCAGAATATCACCTTCAAAGAGGTGAAGGACCTTGGTCAAGTGGCTCCTATCAGTAGATACTTCTCCCAGCTGCTGCCCCTCTGGTAGTATGTCTGCCAGCAGCATGCGGAGGACCCCTGTGCAGCCAGGAGAGGGAAGGAGCCTGGGTGGAAAAATCTGCCCACTGACTGCTTTGGGCTGTAGTAATATGAATGAGCAAGTTCCACTTGTGAAGACACTGACATTTTAGAATGTATTTGTTTTAGCAGCGAGAAGTATACGAAATCACTTACCTCTATTCTCAACAGATCTCATTCCCCTCCTTTGCAAGCCAAAATGCTTAGCACCATGCCTTCCCCCTCGACCACAGAGGTCAACCAATGACTGTAAGCCAGATCCCTCCCTTCCATCAGTAATCAGAGAAAGAAAAGTGATTCTTTACTACCTCCCATTCTTGGTTGTAATGCCTAGCATTATATAATGTCTCGGACCAACAGTGATGTCACTGAGGAATGGCATTATCCTCAATTATATCCTTAATTGTCTTAAGGATACTCCCAAACCTGAGAGGAAATCATTCAAGAAAGAGATCAAGAGATGGTTGATGGAACCCCAGAGATGCTCTCTGTTACCTGCATCCTCACTGACAGTGAAAGCCGTGTTGCCCAGGGACACAGTGGAGGCATCATTGGGACCACTGATGAGCACCTTGGCCGATGACACCCTTCCGATGCGGGCATTGTCAGAAGCACCTGCCAGGGCAATCTCAAACACTTCTTCCTCTTCATATTCGCTGTCATCAATGAGCATGACGTCACAGGTGGACATGGTGACACCAGGCCCGAATATCACACGACTGTCAGCAGACCTCCCTCTAGATTTAAAATCAGAGCCCGATTCTAGAGCGTAGAGGCTACTTCCCATAGCTGAGTTAGGGATGGTATAGCAAATCACAGACACAATGCTGCTTGCATCCCCTGAAATACAAAATGGCAAGAAAACCAAAGCATTTGAATGAGTGCTTCTCAAATTCTAAAATCTCTGATAAATTAGTGAGCTTGGTTCCCTCTGACATATTCCATCATTATTCGTGTTCACACTCTGGCATGAAACCTTCCTGCATTGCAGTCTCTTTTGAGCTTATGAAATAAACCACTTGAGGATTTAATATACCCCAGGTACTTCACCAAACAGCTTAAAATGGATTTCCTAGTCTGTGAATTTTGTGCTCTGTTAATTCACAAGACTCACTGCCCACCATCTAAGACCACAGCGGGTGGAAAGATAAGAGACATATTTGGTACTTTAAGTAGCAAAGTAATTGTGTCCTGAAGGTAGTGCTACGGGCGCAGTTCACTGCCTTTCTGAATAAACTTCTGTACTTTAACTCCCAGGGAAAAACAAGCTTCTTTTAAAAAGAGAAAAACAAAACAAAATAAAACCCACCTTTCTGTACAAATGCCTTTACTTATTAATGCTGCCACTGCCCTGAGTGACGGCCTATTCTGGGCCCATTTGCTGGTCCAGAGCAATCGGTGGGACTTGCTTGTTTTCCAAGTGGCACCTCCAAGGGTTTGCAATATTTACAGTGTTTGTTACACTAACACCCAGCCAGCACATTCAATAAAAAACCTGACATCAGCCCTATTTGGTTTGGCTCAGTGGATAGAGCATCAGCCTATGGACTATAAGGTCCCGGGTTCGATTCCAGTCAAGGGCACAAGACTGGGTTGCCTTGATCCCCGGTGGGGAGTATGCAGGAGGCAGCCAATCAATGATTCTCTCATCACTGATGTTTCTATCTCCCCCCCCCTCTCCCTTCCTCTCTGAAATCAATAAAAATATATTTTAAAAAATCACAAAGAAAACAAACAAACAAAAAACAAACAACCCTGACATTGTTACTTATAGTTGTTGTGTGGCTTTGAATGAAGATTTAATTCCCATGTATTTTAAAGTCTCAATGTTGTGCAATAATAAATCCATATAATCTTTAGTTTGATTTTTAGCCCCTCAAGAACTGACCTTTACTTTTTACATGCAGTTTACTTCTCATTGGAGCTCTATATGTGACTCTCACGGAAGGAAATCTTTAAACACATATCTTTCAAGAACTAAGATGGGAAATCAGTTTTTACAAACTGTAACTTCCCTTTTTGATCAAGGTTACGAAACATTGTAAGAATCAGTTAAGAATCCCGAGTACATGAATATTTGCAAGACCAAATATAAAGTGTTTTAGTCCCGTTAAAGAATAAATGGGTGTGCTAACAGCCTGAGCTACCAAGAGAAGCCTCTGATAGAACTCACTGGGTAGGATCTTTATCAGGGCTGTGCTGGGGGTTTAAATGAGTTAATACATGTAAAGTACTTGCACATCTGAGTTAATATGGTACATGAGCACTTGGCACATAAATAGGACTCAATAAACGTTAGCTATTACAAAGCTCCTTGTCATTTTCGGCGCCAACAGACCTTTTCTTTCAATAGGTGCAAACAGAAAACCAGCGCTCTCGTTGACCCGGTAGGTCTTCTTATCAAACTCTAATGTGGGTTCGTCCTCATTGTCATTGATAATGACCTTCGCCTGGGTGAACTCCCCTAGTAGGGCGTATGCTGGCATGCTGAGCTCCACGGTGAAACTCTCCACCTTCTCAAACACGTCATCATCGTTGATGACAATGGTGCAGGATTTGGTGTCCTCTCGCTCATCAAACTGCACCTGTCACAAAGGAAACAACAAGGAGTTAAGCTGTGCCTCAGCTTCCCCTGCTCTGCTCCCCCAGAAGGCCATGGGCAGAGAGGGCCCAAGTCCGGCGAGCACTGAACGAAGCAGCTGGTTCTTCTAGCCCCAACTTTCTGCTGTATCACCTGGAACGCAAGGCTACCTCTTCCCGTTCTTCATCTGCAACTGGACTGATTTATTGTATAGGGACATGGAGGGTGAAGACATCCCCTCCCATTTAGTGACTGTATTAAAACATGTGGGTAACTGTTCATATCCTGTTTTATTAACTCACTTGAGCAAGAGTCATTTGATTACTTAGTCCCCCTTCTATTTGTGGCAAGTTTAACTGGAAAGATCTTTGAACCTGGAATGTGAAGTTCTAGGCTGAAGTTCTGTTTTTTTTGTGTTTTTGTTTTTGTTTTTTTAGTTTCAAGCTGGGTCAGGCTTTGAAACTTTACATACATCAGTTTATTTTAAAACACTGAACAAATGCAAGATATTATCCTATTACCATTATTATATTATTGTACAATTAAAACTGACATAGAATCTCAGCTTACTGTATAATGACGTTTGAATTCAGAAAAAGTTACATTGAGAAAAAACCAGACTGAATTTTAACTTTATATTTGACTAAATCCTTTGCAAATGAAACCTATAATGTGAGTACATTTAGCCCGGTACAAAGGAGATAAATTATTATATATGCACTTAATTGTAAACTTACAGGGATATATGGTGCTTCTACTTTACCCAAAAATAAAAGAGGAAGATAAAACCTTCAAATGGAATCAGGGCTCTGGATCTGTTCAAAATTGAAAGGGTAGGGAATGGGCTTGGAATATACTTTGTGTAAACAGAAACAAAGGAAACATGTAAAAATAGTCATAAACCTCTGAAAACACATAATTTTCATCAAAAGAAAATTGCCATTACTATCTAATCAGCTAATCAAATTTTTACTAAACACATTTCAAAACACTCCCAACTAAATGAAACACTCCACAAATCTCTATTTAAGACCTAGAACACACTTCCTTTTATCTTTCCCTGAAAAATAGGCATATATACCTCTTTTTATCATTTGTTAAGACTCTTCTAGTTCCTCATTTAAATCTGACATGAGCGGCCTTAGCTTAGTTCTGCTGACATGACTCAAAGAGAGTCCACTCCTCTTTATGGTTCCTGTTACTTTATGTTGCCATAAGAATAATGAAGTTACTTTGAAAAAACATTTAATCAATACCTAATAAGTGCCAGGCATTGTGCCATACATAAAAGATGACAAAAACAGGGCATTCTGCCATCAAGGAGCTTACTATTTAAGTCCCCTCCTTTCTCTTTTGCTTTCATTCTCTCCTTTTTCTTTCTCTCACTCCACCCTGACACTGATTAACACCACGGCTCTATATAGAGACGACAAATTTATCTCCCTACCCAGAACTCCTCTCTGTACTCCCTACCGATGTATATAGCTGTCCACTGATGGCTCTAAGGCAACTCACACTCACCATGTTCAAAGCAAAGTCAAGATCACCCCCTCACCAAACCTGCTCCTCTATGTGTCCCCTCCCAGCAAGGGGCATCATCATCCACTTTCCCTTCTGCCCCACTATCTAATCCACTGCTTAGTCCTCTCGATTGATGGCTTCCTCATCAGTTGAATCCACCCACTTCTCTCCCCCTTCACTTTATAACTGCAGCTTAAGCTCCCATCATCTCTCACCCAGCTCATCCAAAAGCCTCCCAACTGGTCTCCCCACACTCCGTCCCTTCAGGTAAAGAAGATGGAGAGAAAAGGTTAGAATTCTGAAGGCTGAGTGTAGAACATGATGCCTTGGAGACTTTTTTTTTGGTCACGAAGCAAAATGTAGACTGAGAAGCTACACATAACTTAAGCTTCGGCAGTTAGAATGTCAATGGAGTTTAGGCAGGCCATGAAGAACAAAGTACTGTGAGAATCAAGGATAGGAAAATTACTGAGGAAAGCTGCCAATGGAAAGGAAGGGGGGAATAACAGAAAATTGGAAGGTGCCACAATAGACTACAACCTCGTCACAGTCCTTGCAGGCAGTTCAGGAATCAGAGGCCCTCTCGCCCACTTACCTGGCCAGCATACTCCACGTAGTCCTGCTGCCCAGGCTGGGAGCTGACCCTGGAGCTGGAGCTGGCGGTGCCTTGTTCCGTGTGACACAGAACTATGGCGTATTGGTTCAGGTTCCCAGTCCTCTGCACTGTGACGCTGACAGACCCCGCCTTCTCACTGACATTGTAGCTACAAACACACAAAATAGTCATCTCTGAAATTCTGCCCCTGGGTTGTGAAGAATCTGCTAGTTCAATGCCAGTGTCTTCTGGTTACTTATATCCTGGTTTTACTGCTGAGTAGCTATGCGACTTTGGGCAAGTAACCCTCTTTCGGTCTCTACTGCTTTGTTGTTGCAGGGGCAACAATAGTATTCATCTCATAAATTCAAAGTATTAAGGTGATGTAGGTCAAGTGCTTAGTTCAGTGCCTGATACATACAGTATACAAGAAATACTTGGTATAATTATTATTTTTATTATTGTTATCACCACCCCCTCATCAGATGACTACAGCTGACCCACAGAGTGCTTTGCCCAGAATCCTCTGCTTGCCTGACTCCTTTCTCAAGAATGAAGACACAATGACGCTTGTACCTAGCATGTTTAAAGCTGATGAGGGACCACTGGATGTGGAAGACATTGTCTCTGACCACGTTGGGTTTACTGTCTTTCACCAGAAACTGAAAACTATCCATCATCTCATGGATCTTCTCCTCATGCAACACGTAACGAATCAACCCCAAGTTCACATCCTCTGTGAGAAAAAAGACACAGTGTGTTAGCCCGGGGTTACAAAAACAGCCTCATAGCTGTGCACACTGACACACTCAGTCATTCTTCTAATGGGTCATGGACAGAACATGTGTTCCCAAGAACAAAAAGGGGTAATAGTCTTAGAAATTACTGCTTCTGCCAGATGCAAAAATAAGATCCTGTAGCTCCATGTGACAAAAAGCTATCTTCATGTACAGGAAATACACTATGCTGTTGTAAATGAGAACTTCCAGGTCTTGTCAAAAAGACACTTCACTAAAGGTCTATGGAATGTTAGCGGCGGATCTGAGAGCTGACAGAGAAAAGTCTTCAACCCCATCCTCTGTGTGCATATGCTCATATCCACACTACTTCCTTCTAATAAGGTTCCTTGGAAGGCATGTGTTACTAAGAAAAGCTAAGGTTGGACTGAAACAGCCCCCACACAAGGCACAGGTAACATGGGCTAGGAGAGCACAGAAGACCGAGGACAGAGAGAAAAAGGAAATACGGCACATGAGTCATAACAGGCAGTTTCTCGTAACTGCTCCCAATGAAGCCCTTCCTCAGAAGTCAGCTAGATTCTAGAAGACCCCAAGGGGCGTCTGGGAAACTAAATTACAAAATGGTCTGCCTGATATGATTCAAAGCAGGAAAACATTTCTGTTAAGGAATCTGCCCACATTGATTTTAATTTCTTTGCTGAAGACTTTAAAAAATATCCATAACCCTTAGAGAACAAAAAACAAACCACACAGGATCACGGATCTTTCATAAAGCCTGGGGGCTGTTTTTGTGGTTTCTTTTTAAAGAAGACCGAGCATTGACATGATCCCTTCCAGAAAACCTGGCCAAAACCTAAAGCAATTTGGGAGCTGAGGAAGCATGGTAAAGGTGATTTTTTTGGGGGGTGGGGGGTGGGGAGAGGGAGTGGGGACATAACTCAGAGTAACAGGAAAAAAGTCAGAGACGTAAAATTCTAAAGTTGGATGGTTAGACATTAAAAGACTGTATGTTTGTATGTAGGTTACTTAGGGGTGAGAGGGGTCGTAGAACAGATTCCTCCCATTTCCCAGCTCCCCGAGGCCCCACCCTGTGTGAAGGTCACAGCAGCTCGGCCAGGCTGCAGCTTGTTCTCCACGTGGCCATGCCTGGGGCCCGTAGCGATCTCATAGACAAGTTGCAGGTCTTCCGTGTCCGGGTCCAGGGTCAGCAGTTCTTTCTTGGTGATCAAGTTGGTTGCCTGGAATAGAAACCCATTAAATTTAACTCCTGTTGTGGGAATAAAGCAAGAACAAGACCCAGTGACTCAGATTTAATTCAGCTCAACAATGATTGACTGAGTGCATTTACTGCACAGAAAACTCTGTCAGTATTGAAGAGGCTGTACGGATAAAAGCCAGCCGGCCTCTGCCCTCGATGTGTTCACACCATTGGCAAAGAAAGGCTGATAAGCAACGTAGCTGTGGCAAGAGCTATATCGGGAAATAAACAAAAAAAGAGTGCTATGCACTTTTTTGGGAGTGGGAGAGATAATTCCAGCTGAACTGGGGCAGAAGAGATTTGAGATGGTGGAATTTGAGCTTGGCCTTTAAAGAAGGTTGGGACTTTGAAAGAATGATACAACACAGGAAAGACGGCCACTCCTGAAAATACAGGAGTCAAATGCAATGCTTGCAAGTGAGTAAGATATATATGATACCCCAATTTTGCCCAAATATACTGCCTATATTTTAACTCACTCAAAAAATATTTAGAGAGAATCATTGATCGGCTGCCTCCAGCATGTTCCTACAAGCCCACAACCCGACCGGGCATGTGCCCTGACTGGGAATTGAACCAGGACCTCCTGGTTCCTAGGTCAATGCTCAACCACTGAGCCACACCGGCCAGGCCTTAACTCACTCAAAAAATATTTAATGAGAGCAAAGGTTTGAGAGAAAAAAGGGCTGGTCTATAGTATTAAATGTTTTTAGCTCTAGGAAAGTAAGGACATGTAAGTGACCTTTGGACTTGACAAAATAGAGGTCATTGGTGACTCTGACAAGAGTCCCTGCAGTAGGGTAGGGGTGGGAAGTAGAATTGCGGAGAGTTTAGAAGAGAGTGAGATGGTTCTGAATATGGAAAAAAAAAATAAATGAAATAGGGCAAAAGAATTGATGCTAATTTTGTTTGATATATTTTAAAAATTCTGATAAGTTTGGTGGAAAGCTATAGCATAACACCTACATATAAAAGCATACCTTGTTTTATTGTGCTTCTCAGGTGCTGTGTGTTTCAGAAACTGAAGGCAAGACCCTCCACCAACAAAAAAGGTTATGACTCTCTTTACTGAGATACCCGCTTTATTGCAATGGTCTGGAACTGAACCCACAATATCTCTGAGGGATGCCTATACTACCAACTAATCAGCTCCATAGGGAAGAGAAAATCTACGTCTTAGAGGGAAAACCACAGGCAAAAGAAAGAAACCAGTTCTCAAACTCAACTCAAGAACTGTGTGTGTTTGGGTGGGGACAGGAATTTAATGCTAGACATGGCTATGGCATATCTTAAAATGACCAAATTGGACTTTAGGAGAAGGAGAATGAAATTTCTAAAGTATTCCTCTGAGGACATTCACCCACAAAAACACTTCCTTCCCATTAATGGCATATTCCAGATATGTCCCCAAATCTATCTTTCCCTTCTTCTAGTTAACAAACTTTTAGCTGGGCACCTGGCTAATCAGCTAGACACTCTATCTCCCAGCCTCCCATGCAACAGATGAGCCCATATGACCCATTTCTTGCCAAAATAATATGAGTGCAAGAGATGTGTTTAATTTCTGTACTACTTGCTTAAAATATATCCCTTGCCCTTGCCATGGGTAGTGTTGCTAAGTGGTTAGAGGATCAGCCCGCACACTGAAGGGTATTGGGTTTGATTCCTGGTCAAGGGCACATACCTGAGTTTCTGGTTCACTCCCCACCCATAGGGGCACATGCAGGAGGCAACCAGTCAATGTGTCTCTCTCACATCGATGTTACCCTCTCTCTCTCCCCCCACTCCCTTCCTTCCTCTTTTCATTCCTCCTTCCCTCCTTCCCTCCTCCCACTCTCTCTGAAAAGCAATGGGAAAAATATCTTCAGGTGAGGATTAAAATATCTATATATTCCTTGCTCTCTACTTTTCTATTTTCCTCTTCCCATGGACTAAAATACTGATGACTAACTGAAGAGATTAGGGTAACTCCAGTCAACGGCTACAAGCCAGTAATGGCAGAATGGCAAGAGAGAAGGAACCTGTGCCTCTGAATCATCACGCAGAGCCCTGGACTTCCACCCTGGATGTGAGGGGGAAAACACCTGCTATTTTGTTTGAGCTACTATATTTTGGGAGCCATTGTATAAGAACATGTTAAACTATATACAATCTGAATCAAACCCATGAAGCTCTCCAATCTCAGGAATATCAGCTTACTTAGGGAGGAATAAACATGACTTGAGCTAGAGTTCTTAGTCATAATCTATCGTCATGTTCAAGGCTACTGTCCAAGCTGGTTAGTGTGGAACTGGCCGATGGAGGGGCCTTACCTTGCCATCCACACGCTCCAGCCACTGGAGCCCCAGGTTTGTGACAATTCTCGGAGTGCTGTCGTCCACTGGGAGGATGTCTACTCGGAACTGCTGAGGCGCTGCTGTGATAATCTGGGGGGGAGGTGGGGGGAGCCAAAAAAACTCATCATTCACAGACATCGAACTGTCAGGTCTGGAACCCTGAAATCAGTTGACACTTCAGAGTGGGAGCTAAGCCGGTTTCCACCACTTGCTAGCCCTTGGCCCGAGACTTAGGGAGAATACTGCCTGCTAAAGGGCACTATACGAAGGAAAGCGAGAAACCAGGGGCACCGGGCTGGGATTTCACCTGCCATGGAAGCTGACGTTTACACACCTCTGCATGGAGTAAGTTCAACGTTACCCTGAGGTGAAACAATAAGCAAAACATTTTCCTTTCAATAACTCTTGTTAAATCTTTCCTGAGAGGCAGAAGAAAACCATCATTAAAATGTTAATGTCAAAGTCTCCAGGTGGAACTCTGCCAGATGTAGAAAGAGGTTTCCTGGGAAGAGATTTTTCTCCCCCTCCCCCCCTTTTTTCAGTGAGCTATCCATATGGGGAAAACAGAAGAAGAAATTAAGAATAAAATATTTGTGTCAATGGGGGAAAAAGGAGACTTATGTAATACTTTAAACAAGAAAGAATTTAAATAAAAAAGAATAAAATATTTGTGGACATAATGAAAAGAAACTTTGGTTTATAATTTCAATCTCACTTAGACCGATCCACACAACACAGACGCGGCACCTCCCTGTTCGAGGGGAAAAGGCGGCTGCCACGCAGGGCAGCAGATGCTGGCTTTTCAACCTTCTACCACCTCCTTGTAAGCAATTTCCATTTGTAAAATAACAGGGTCCCTCTGGAGACCTGCAGTGACCTTTGATGTTTATCGGAGAGGTAGCCCTCTTGCTGATTTATCCTGAAATCTTTTTTCTCTTCTGAAGGTCACACTAAGTGGGAGCAGCTGCAGTGCAGGAGGGAGAATAAAAGCGATGAGCCCCCAGGGGGGTGATGCATCGCAGACCCCGCAGTGGCAGGGGAATCCTGACTCTTCGACCCACCGAGAACGACCTTTTCACAGGCTGTCGGTCTCTAAAGGGTGCAGGAAGACCTTGCTTCCACGAAGGAACCATCCCCATTCATCACCGAAGTCTGAAAGGGACTGTGCAGGACGGAGCTGACCCTGCTGTAATCCTTGAAGGATGGTCGGGTGTGACGATATAGCTCACTCAAACTGCTTCTGCGGAGTCAGAGACAGACGCCTGTGATGTAGGAGTCCGTGCCTACCTTTTACCTGGGTTGCAGTTATTCCCAGCAGAGGGTGTGGGACTGCAGGACACCAGGCTAAGAAGGAATGAGTAAAAATAGCAGGAAAGGTAGTGCAGGGGCTGTCTTAATGTTTCTTCCAGACGCCTGGATATCAGAAGGGAACAATTCTCTCAAAGTAATAAAGCTGAATGGCTGCATGACCTCAAGACAAAAGTCTTTACCTGTTTCCCTTGCTGACCCTAAAATGATGACACAGATGATGATGACAGCCAGTCGGTTGGATGTTCCTGTGTACGGCACTGGGCTAAGTGCTTTACATACATCACGAAGGTGGTATCGTCCCCATTTTAGAGATAGGGAAGCTGAGGCTTAGAAAGGTTAAATGACTTGCAAAGTCACTCAGCCAGTCGGTGACAGAGCTAGAATTTAAATCAGTGTCTTTTGGATGAAGAAACCGCACTCTTAGCCATTGCTATTCTTCATGAGACTAAGAAACTTTGGCTGACTGAGGGGACATATAAGAGAGCAAGACAATCTAGAACCATATGAAATTAGTAAAAAAAAAAAACACAAACAGATGAAAGAAAAATGACAGGAAAGGAGAAATAATAACAGAATAATAACAATACCTATCAACTTCTATTGAAAGTGCTCATAATTTGCTAACAGTGTTAAGTACTTACTATTGATTATCTCTTTGAACCCTCGTCTAATTGAAGCTGATGATGATTATTGTATCCATTTTGCAGATGACAAGAGGAGGCTTAGAGGAGCTAAGTGATTTGCTGAAGGCCCACTGATAAGTGACAGAACAAGAACTAAAACAAGGCTATCCTTGGCCTTGATATGCCATGTTGTGGACAACCTCTGGCATGTTCTGCTATGCCTTCCTCTCTGTTGTTTCCCCTCACCTCTTTCCCTCCTTCCTCAATAATAAAGAAGGGGTTCGTCCCATCAGCAACAGTGAAGGTGAACCAGTCTTTGAGGGAGTTGCTGCCATCGTGGCTGTAGCTGACTCGGTTCTGGTAGACGTCCTCCATGGTGAAGGTGGAGATGAACTGGAAATGCTGCCCATTGGTGGTTCGCTCGATGCTGCCATGACGCGGGGGCTGCACAATGGTGAACGTGACAGACTCAGCCTGTGGAGGAGGCAAAAAGCAAGAGGAGAAGGGACTTCTTAAGGGAAACCAGATGTGTCAGTGATGGCCAACAGGTGGTCAAGTGTAGCCAAACCTAGAGACATTTATAAAATAAGAACTGCATTTTTTATGGCTATCAAAAATAAAACTAAGGAGGTAAATTATATTGGTAACTATAATTGAATTTATATTCTGATGCCTTCAGTTGTAAGACTAAGGCATTTATATTTGTCCTTTGGGGGGGGTCAAAAAAAAAAAAAGCCTGAATCTTTAACCTCTCCCAGGATGATAGGAACTAGACCTTTAAAAATTATTCATTTCTTTTCCATCCATTTCCCCCCACTTCCCAAAACTCTTATATCCAGAATCCCATATGCATCAGAACAGAAATTTATTTCCCATTTCTAGTCACTGCTTCTAGGGCAGGGGTGGGCAAACTTTTTGACTTGAGGGCCACAATGGGTTCTTAAACTGGACCGGAGGGCCGGAACAAAAGCATGGATGGAGTGTTTGTGTGAACTAATATAAATTCAAAGTAAACATCATTACATAAAAGGGTACGGTCTTTTTTTTTTTTAGTTTTATTCATTTCAAACGGGCCAGATTCGGCCCGCGGGCCGTAGTTTGCCCACGGCTGCTCTAGGGCGACACATAGAAGCAAAAATAAAGAGGTAGAAAACCCTGCTCAAGACTTTCCAAAGATTTCCCACCAACGTAGAATAAAATGAAAAGGCCTGACTGGGCCAACCAGGCCCGTTGTGACCTGGTCCTAGGACTCCTCTCTGGGCCCGCTCTTCCCCTCTCCTGCTTGTTTAGGTTCCCACCTCTTGGCCTCTTGTTGTAACTCAAAAGTTCTAAGCACACTTGACCCCAGGGCCTTTGCACTCTGGTTCTTCTGCCCAGGGACTGAGGCTCCCAGATGACTGCATAGCTTGCTCTTCTGCTTCATATCTCTGCTCCTCAGAGAAGCCTTCCCTGCCCACTCTGTCTAACATAGCACAATCTCTTATCTTCTTTAGCTTGCTTTAGTTTTATTCATAGCACTTACAATATCTGACATGGTATTACATGTTCTTTCTTTATTGTCTGCCTTCCTCAACAAAGGTTGAAAACTCCCTAAGGCTGGAACTTTATGTGTTTTGTTCACGGCTCTGTCCTTCAGGTCTAGAGCAGAGCCGGCACAGGTACGTAATGAGTATTTGCTGAAAGAGTGAACAGATGAATGAATGAGCGCTGGCAGAGGGTAGAGTGCACATAGAACTAATTAATAATTGCTGTGGTACTCTTATGGGAGCTAAATTGTGCCAGAAGGTTACATGCTTTTATCTGAAAGCATCATGAGAATGAGAGTTCTATCTCTACAGGCTCTGTTTTACTGTATAAAGCCTAGTTCTCTGAGGATGCCTAAATTGTAATAATTAGTTGTCATCCAGAGAAGTCTGAATGAAGAAAATTAAAAAAAGAGAAAGATCTATTTTGTCAGCTTCTTTAGTTCATTAGATTCTACATATAAGTGAAATCATGTGATCAATGCAACAGACATGATTCTCAGAGGGAAGTGGGGTTGGCGGAGGAGGGGTGGGAAGAGATTAACCAAAGAACTTATATGCATACTAGAGACTCGGTGCATGAGATTCGTGCACTCGGGGGGTTCCCTCAACACAGTCCGGGACCGCTTGGGGATGTCTGACTGACCGCTTAGACCCAATTTAGCTCCCACAGGGAGCGGGCCTAAGCTGACAGTTGGACATCCTTAGCACTGCCGCAGAGGCAGGAGAGGCTCCCGCCACTTCCACTGCGCTCACCAGCCGTGAGCCCGGCTCAGGGCTTCTGGCTGAGCAGTGCTCCCCCTGTGGGAGCACACCAACCACTAGGGGACAGCTCCTGTGTTGTGTGTCTGCCCCCTGGTGGTCCGTGTACATCATAGCGACCGGCCGTTCCCCCGTTCAGTCAATTTGCATATTAGCTTTTTATTATATAGTACATGCATAACCCAAGGACATAGACAATAGTGCAGTGAAGGCCTGCGAGGGGGCAGGAGCAGGGTGGAGGGGATCAATGGGGGAAAAATGGTACATCTATAATACTTTCAACAATAAAGAAAATTAAAAAGAAAAGAGGGAAAGATATATAGGTGCCATAAATCCTTGTTCATGCTAATAAGGAATAATTTCCTATAAATCATGATAAAAATTCAGCATGTTAAAAAGATTGTTGCATGTAATCAGGGGAGAGGGTGAACATACTTGGGGTTTCAGAAAGGGTTTAAAAGCAGTTTGATGCAAATGTATTCACTTCCTATTTTTCGGAGGGCTGTGGTCTCTTCAGGTTTTTAGTCCTTCAAGGATACTTGTTCTAACCTCACCGCCCTGCCCTCCCCTTGGGATGCTCAGTCACAAAGCAACCACTGGACTCACCAGATCAGCTTCTCATTCAGCCAGAGAACCCAGGGGCACGTTCTTACCTCTGTATCTGCATCCACGGCCTTGAGCTCAAATTCCGTGATGGTCTTCCTCACGCCCTCCTGCACCCGCATCCCCACATTCTGTACAACGGGCAGCGAGTCATCCACAGGGCGAATGGTGATGTGGAACGTCTGGGTCACCTAGAATGGCAGACATGTGAAGACCAGAGAGACACAGGCCCCCAGCCCCACCCAAGTAGAAGGTAAGTGCCCTCTACTTTCTCCTTCACACCATCCCTCACATGATGGACTGACCAGGAACCCAAAAATGAATTCTCTTGGACAAGACCCCCGGGGGCTGTCAGAAGCCGCCTGACCTTGGCTGAGAGCAGAGGGAAGTGAAGTTCAGACAGCACCAGCCGCCGTGCAGATGCTAAGGGAATCCAGTTCCTCACCTACCTCATGGACTCCATCCGAGAGCGTGAAGCTGAAGGCATCTGAATGGCTCTCGGACTCACTGGAGTGGACATACTGAACGTTTCGTGAAGCCAGGTCAGCCTGAGTAAAAGAAGTGATCAGGATACCTGGCGAAAGGGGAGAAGAGAAACAGAGAAAGGATGTAAAAATGCTCGCCATACTTCTGAGGCTGGGGAAACGTCATATGCTCGCTAGATAGAGTCCTTGGCATTTGTCACCTAGCATTTATGTGCTTCTCCCTGAGACCTGGTGTTAGAGTTGTTTGCCTACTTTTTTTTCTCCAACAGCATATGTTCTGTGGGAGCACATGTGAACGTAATTATCCAGGCTTCTACTATGTGCCAAGTCAGCAGCAGGTGCTCAATAAATGTTACTCTCCTTTCTCGTGGGGCTTATGCATGCAGGTCAAATCTGTGAAAGGTAGAGACAGTGCCTTATTCTCTAAATTCTTCTCTCTTAAGTTTTATATTCCCCCATAGTCTCATAGCCCTTTCTGAGAAACCTATCCTAATTTTTAATATTGTGCAATGGGAACACTGGACTAATAGGGCTTGCCTAAACCATAGCCTTGTTTCTGTGATTGGTGGGGCTTCCCCAGCCTCCACAGATTCATTGGAAATTCTTCAAGGTCCCTTTCCAGGTCTGTGATTCTAGCTTCTCATATACCATGTCGGCCAGGCTGACAGTAGACTTACTGCATGACTCTGGGCTTTGGGCAATCATTCTATATCAACTCTAAAACGACCTAGAAAACCATTATCCTTTAATAACATGATAGAAAAACATATTAATTTTTTTAGAGTCATTTTGAAAGTACAAAAATCTAAAGTGATTTTGAGTAATTAATGCCAAAGTATCCCACAAGTGAATAATAGCTCTATGTTTTTAAATGTCAAACAACAATTAGCGTAGAATTCTTGCTTCCATCTTAGGGCTCTGGGACTTCCTTCCTGGTCCCAGCCAAGATTGAAACAAAATCACATCTTTTAGACCAGTGATGGCGAACCTATGACACGCGTGTCAGAGGTGACATGCAAACTCATTTTTTTGGTTGATTTTTCTTTGTTAAATGGCATTTAAGTGTATAAAATAAATATCAAACATATAAATCTTTGTTTTACTATGGTTGCAAATATCAAAAAATTTCTATATGTGACACGGCACCAGAGTTAAGTTAGGGTTTTTCAAAATGCTGACACGCCGAGCTCAAAAGGTCCGCCATCACTGTTTTAGACCCTCAGCACCAATTCCCTCTGCCTGATGTGAGTGTTGGGGTATTAATCCATTTAATCTAATCCTTCTGTTTGGTCCTGCAAATCATTTGCTGCTGCCTAGGATTTATTATTTGTCATTGTAAATCCTGGCAAAACCACTGTAGCTTTCCTGTAAAAAAACAAACACAAACACTCACACACACACTCAGAAATTGTACTTTGACTGTGACACAAGTATCACTGCCATCCTAAAAAATTAATAAACCTTCATGGTTTACATTTGCATCTCTCTTTATCATCTGAGATTTGTCACCCAGATACAATAGCCTCCTGATACTGGGGCATTAATTTTTTGATGAGGCGTTTTATATTTCTGTGCTTGCTACATGAGCTCTTGACAGGCAAAAAAATGTAGCCCCCTGTCTTATAGCTTTGTCTTGTAGTCTGGACAGAAATCCATACCATTCTTTAAAAATTTAATAACTTCAGACTGGCTGCGCTGAGAAATTTAAATCTCTTCCCCTGCGGTGACTCCCTCCTCATAGCTCATGGGGAAATGCTTGTCTGGATTCTCACAATCCACTGGTCACCTAATTCACTCTTCTCTTTATGGGAACCTAGGACTGACTGAGGAAGGTGATAGAATTTTCCTTCCTCTTGGGAAGGAAGCACTGGGATTGATTTTTAAAACATTTTTGAGAGGAAATGGACATATAATAAATAGCACACATTTAAAATGTACAATTTCATAAGCTTTGGCACATCCATAAAACCACCACCTCAATCAAAATAGTGAACATATCCATCACCCCCAAAGTTTCCAGCTGACACTTTATAATTCTTCCATTCTTCCCATCCCCTACCCTATCCCAAAGCAATCAATAAATTGCCTCCTGTCACTCTAGATTAGTTGGCATTTTTTCTGATTTTTTAAAAAATAGATTCATACAGTATGTACTATTTTATGCATAGTTTCTTTCACTTGGTATAATCATTTTTCAATATTCATCCATATTGTACCATGTGTTAACAATTCATTCTTTCTATGGCTAGGTACTATTCTATTGTGTGGATATGTCATCATGTGTTTATGCATTCACGTGTTGATGAACGTTTAGGTTAGTTCCAGTTTGTGGCTATTATAGATAAAGCTGCTACAGTCATTTGTGTACAAGTCTTTGTACTGACATAAGTTTTCATTGTTTCTGGGCAAATCTCTATGAGTAAAATGGCTGGAATATGTCTTGGGTGCATGCTTAACTTTTTAGAAAACTGAGAAACTATTTTCCAAAGAAGGCAGTACCACTTGCCATTCCCACAGCAGTGCAGGAGGGCTCTGGGCTTCATCTTAGTGGGCCTTTCCCATTTCTATCTAGAAAACGCTGAACACCTACTGTGCAGAATGCTATTTCAGGCTTGCTTATATATTTTAGGTTTTATCTTTTAACAACTCTGGGAGGTCAAGGTTGGCGTGTTACCTCGTTTTGATAGATCAGGACACTGCGATACAATTAGAGTAGCAATGTGGCCTATCCCAGGTCACACATCCAATAGGGGGACAGAGCTGGAACTGGAGATCAGGGTTGTCTAACCCCAAAGTTTATGCCTGCTAGGAGTACGTTTTTACAAAACTCATCTAGACTTTTCAGACTAGACAAGGAGCCTCTTGGATATCACCCTTATCCTTTAATTGTTTTCAATATAAAAGTAATACATGGCTATTAAAGAAAATGTAAAAAGCACAGAAAAGTAGTAAAGGATCACAGAAATCACTCATAGTATGGGATCACAAGAATCACTCATATATCTACCACTAAAATATCACCATTGTAATATTTCTGAATTGAACTGTTTCTTATACTTGATTGGCCATAACCTTTTTTTATCTGAAATATTGATTTTGATGGGGTACTTATTATTATTATTTAAATGATACCAATGATTAAGTGCCAGAGGGTAATAAGCTGCACCTAGAATGCAAGCTTCAAGGGGACAAGCATTTTGGTGGTTTCCTCACCAATGTGCAACTAGAATAGTGCCTCGCACACAGTAGGTATTCAAAACATTTTTGGTGAATGAATTTAGCTCACCCACTATAACCAATTTCTGAGGCCTTACCCATTAAGCACAGAATTTTCAATCTCTATGTACCTTCCCCCCCGCCCTCAATTTTAGCCTTTGCTAATTGGGCATTGGAAAACTTTAGCTACTTGTTCACCACCAAGATGGTGTTTCCAGTAACATGTTCTCCCTGTTGGCTGTCACAGCAGGTAGTTACTGTTTGAAAGGTTGCAGGCTTTTAATCCCATGGAAGATATTTGCAGTCACCAACCTACTGGCTATACTACGTCTCTGGCAGTATTACGGGGACCCACATTAACCCTGTCAGCTTTTCCAATTCCCCCGAAAGGCCAGCACATTAGAGTGGTGTGGGAAAAAAGCATCTCTGAAGAAACTGCCTTCCTAAGCGGAGGTTAGGCGATTGCCTCGGCCTCCTGCTTTCAGCACGGCCGGGATGGCCCTGTGCATGGGCATAGTGCTATGTCGGAACCAGTGCTGAACCACCGCAGGCTCATGCCATGGGAGACTCTCAGCTTTTCTTCAAAGCCTCCAGTTATGGGCTAAATTGTGCTGCCTCCCCCCGACCCCCCGCCACCAATTCATATGTTGAAGTCCTAACCCTCAGTGCCTCAGGTGTGACATTACTTGGAAACAAGATCATTACAGAAGTATTGAGGTCACTAGGGTGGGATGTAATCCAGTATGACCATTGTCCATATAAAAGGGGAAACTTTGGATATACACATACTAGAGGCCTGGTGCACGAAATTCGTGTATAGGTACGGTCCCTAGGCCTGGCCTGTGATCAGGGCCATCTTCCCTGGCTGCCTGCAGCCGGCCCCGCCCCCCGCTGCCACCCACTCTGGTTTCCCCTTTGCCATCAGGTGATCGGTGCCTGATGGCCGGGGGAAGGGACCTAGAGGTCAGTCATTCCCGCCCACTCTCCAGACCCACCCCTGCCACAGGTGGCCATCAGGAGATCAGAGCCTGCCAGCCAGGGAAAGGGACTGAGAGGGGGTCAGTGCACCACATAGTGACTGGTCCAGTGGTCAATCTGGTCATTCTGCCGTAAGGGTAAATTTGCATATTATCCTTTTATTATATAGGAGGATAATTCATAGTTGCAAGACCTCGGGAACATTCAACACTCTTGGAAGCTGCTACATGTACAATTCTAATTCTAAATTCTTATCAACTGTTACTATTTTTTTCAGAGCAATTGACTAATACAATTTTGGGTCTTTGTTACTGCTTTGTTACATATATACACATATCTATATATCCTTGTCTCTATATATGGACATATACATAATGATATACATGCATTACTGGATTGTGGTGGGGGTCCCTGCTGGGGGCAGGCCGGCCTGGGTGAGGGTTTGTGGGCTGTTTGCAGGCCTGCCACACCCCCAATCATTCTGGTCTCTGGTCTTTCTGGTTGTTCTGCTGTTTCAGTCACTGGGCTTTCATTATATAGGACTAGAGGCCTGGTGCATGACATTTTTGCATGGTGGGGAGGGTCCCTCAGCCCAGCCTGCACCATCTCTAATCCGGGACCCCTCAGGGATGTCCAACTGCCGGTTTAGTCCCATGGAAGGTGTTTGCAGTCACCAACCTACTGGCTACACTAGGGGATCAGGCCTAAATCGGCTGGCTCCTAACTGCTCACCTGCCTGCCGGCCTGACCCCCCTAACTGCTCCCCTGCTGGCCTGATCCCCCTAACTGCTCTCCCCTGCAGGCCTGATCACCCCTAACTGCCTCTGCCTTGGCCCTGCCACCATGGCTTTGTCTAGAAGAACGTCCAGAAGGTCGTCCAGAAGACGTCCAATCT